ATTTAATGACAATTGGCATGGTTTACAAGATTTATGCTTTTTTTTAACAAATGTTTTCCTTTATTGACAAAAATTACATAGACAATTATAGAACATTCAAAAAAAAGAAAAAGCCAAAAAACATCACACTCTCACTTGTACAAAATACACAATGCCTACAGGGGTATTGAGGGAAATTAACCGTTGAACAAGTTAAATTGTTTTTAAGAAAATTACCACCGGTCTGATTAGACAAAAAATGAGTAACTTTTTTTATCCAATATTCACACTCAAGATGTTTCTTAGGATCTAATCCCTGGGATCTATATAGTAGTTCTTTCTATATTTAACTGATACAGAACCTGTGAATAGTTAGTGTGAAAGTATTTGAGGATTTCCAATTTCGGGCAATAAGCATTTTCACTGAAATCATAAAGTGAATATGAATAAATACCTCTTTCTTCTCCAGTTGGTTAATATTCAGATTTAAAATAGCATTCTCTGGAGCTTTCGGAACAGGTTTAGTTGGCAAAATTTCTAGTTCTGCAAAAACATCTTTCCACTTATTTTTTATTGTATCACAGTCCCACCAGATATGGATAAAATACCCATGTTGTCTATTGCATCTCCAGCACAGTGGGAAAGCAGAGTTATACATTTTAGACAGTCTCGTCGGGACCAGATACCATCTATTTATTACTTTTAGTAATATTTCTGTTAGATTCAAGCAGTGGACAATTTTACAGGTATTATAAAGAACTAGGCACCACTCCTCTCTATTAATTTAAATTTTTAGATCCTTCTCCCAGTTTTTACATGCGTGAATGGTTTTGGGAGCATCCATTATTAACATAGCCCTCACAGCTTTTGAGACCACCTTATCTATTGGCTCAATTATAAACAATGAGCAGATGTCTTCCACCCCCTCTGAGTTGTTACAAAGAATATTTTGATTAAGAACATTTTTAATTTAATTTTTTTAAAAAAAAAATTGCATTGTGTTTGCTACATCTCGTGTGAGCTCTATACCTAAATACGTAAGGGATTTTTTTGCCCATGCAAAATTATAATTATTTTTAATCCAGTTCTCTTTGCTTACATTAATATCCATAAGGATTGACTTATTTACATTAATTCTATAATTAGAAATAGGGCTGTATCTCCTTCATAAAGTTTTTCAGGGAATTGACAGGATCGGTTAGGGACATCAGCAGGTCGTCTGCATACAGGTTTAATTTAAGATCTTTATGTTTTATTGCAAGTCATTTAATACCGTCATTATGTCTTATATAGGTGGTATAGGATTGGAGATAGCGGGCAACCCTGTCTGGTCCCGTCGTGTAAGGTAAACCATTTAGAACAAATATTTGGTCCAATCGTTCTTGCCAAAGGGCAAGAATAGAGTAACAGGATTGCCCGATGCACCCATCCTTGAATACCAAATTTTAAAAGCACCCTACTCAAAAACTCCCAACCAACCCTGTCAAAAGCTTTTATCAATGATATTGGTCTATAACTTTCAACTTTAGTCTGTTTTTTTTTTCTATTTTTAAAATGGACAGAATATTCGCTCTCAGCATTTCCTGAGGATAAGTACATTGTAAAACAATTTGATTAAATGTATCTGCTAGATGTACACTTAGTAGCTCCTTGAAGGTCTTATAGAATAGGTTTAAATACCCATCTGGGCTGGGAGTTTTTTTTATTCTTTAATTTGGAAATAACTTCCTCCACTTCTTGTATCATTATAGGTTGATTTAAAATGTTTTTTGATTCTCTAAAATTGATGGAGTAGACATCTTATCTAAATAAGGGTCAATATTATGATTAAGCAGAGGCAAATCATATAGCTTCTTATAGTATGAATTAAGGCATTGGCCTATTGCTTTAGGGGACAAGTGTATTACATTATCAACCACTAGTCTGGTGACTTTGTTTGATGCAGTCCTGTCTCTCAATTTCTGCGTCATTAGTTTGTCAACTCGATTGCCCTTACTGTATGACTTCACTCTTAACCTCTCCATAATTTTAGCATTCCGTTCTAAAATGTTTTGGTTAATTTGTTTCTGAATATTTTTTATGGCTTCTAAATTTGTTTTTAATGGAGAGTCTTTATTTCTTCTAGAAGTTTTTTCTAAATCAGAGTATAGAGTCGGCAGTTCAACTTTATTATATTTTCTAAGATGTGAATTTAGACTAATCAAGTTGCCTCTTAGAGTCTACTTAAAAGCACACCAGTTGATAGCATACAAAGTATCTCTTTTTGGATTAGATAAGAGGAAGTCAGTAATACGCCACGTACTTCTATTATTGATACTCCATTGATCTTTTTTATGGACCAAACAGTAATATTGTAGTCCGATCATGTATTCTCTAGTATTCTAATCGATTTTATATTTTCAAGAAAGACAGGATTGCCCAAAACCATGTCGATACAAGAGTAAGAGTAATAAACTCTAGAAAAATGGGTGTAATTCCCTTTTCATCTGGATGTAAAGATCTCCACAGGTCAAGACAGTCAAATTTATTCATACTATTAGTTAAAGATTTAGCTGTCTTAATGAGTTTTTTATCCAGAATTTGTTGCTTAGGTAGTGTCAGGGGTGGCGGTCCAGTGGCCGGGATCCAGTATGCCTGATCTTGATATTAGTGTGGAAGTGGATTAGTAGGGTCTGGTGCAGGGTAACCGCACGCCCCCTGGTATTGAGCACCAGCATTTGTGCGGCCACATACCAGGACCCTGATGCAGCTTCAGCGGATCCCAGGAACTAGGAGCTTGGAAATAAGCAGACCTCCTAGGAGCTGAATAGGGAGGCTCTGCAGCAAGAATGTATCCAGTACAGAGACAAGGCAAGACTAGGATAGGCACCAAACATGAAAACAAGACAGAACTAGTAGAGCCCAGAACCAGAGAAGGATAGGAAGCTAAACCCAGAACATGTACAAAATACATAAGGGAAACATTAACAGAACAGGGGCCGGACAGGACAGTACATGGACTGGGAATACAAAATAAAACAAGACAATATATAATAGGCAAAACAAGAGGAGACATAACTAAGTACTATATGTGAAAAACTATGGGGATTTCGTTACATTATATGATCATACATTGCATTATCCTGCCACAACGTCCATGTACCCCATATTAGGCACGTCCTATGCTAACTGCCTAATGTCTTCTAAATGAACCATAATAAAACACACACAGTACTTACCTGCAAGAAAAGGCAGAGGACTTGAGCAACTGCCTGCATGGACCAACTGAAACAAAAGGAATCATGGAAAAGGAACGGGTGTGGCAACATATAACAAACATTTAAAGGAATCCAAGAGACTGGGAATTCCAGGAACGGAATACAGGAATGAACCCAGAAAACCCAGCATAAAGAAAACCAGACATGGAATAGAAAACCAGAAAAACTAAACAAGAATAGTAAAAAGAGTACTGGATACCAGAAACCAAGGCCAGAATGATCTGCAGCTAGGAACAGGGTGTGACAGGTAGTTTCTTATCTCTACTAGGATGTAGCACACAATTAAAATATCCTGCTATTTAGCATAATGCAGTCTTTAATTAATCTACCTGTTCCAGTATTTTGTTCAGTGTTGTAACCGGGGAATAATATGGAAGGTATATGTTGACCAGTGTATACATGATCTTGTTCAGTTTGCATGTAACAATCAAATATCTTCTCTCTGGATCAATGTATTGATATAAAATTTCCAATTTTACAGCGTAAGCAAAAACAATAGCAACCCCCTGTTTCTTTTTATCCTTTAGGGAATCTTGCATAATAGTGGGGAACCGGTTGCCTCCCCATTTAAATTTTATCAGCTTTTCTCCAGTGGGTTTCTTGAAAGAAACACACTTCGGCTTTTTCTTTAGACAAAAAGTTATATACCAATTATCTTTTATTCTGGGAATTTAGACCCTATGTAGTAACTGATATAATTTTAACCATCTTTTAAGCGAAAGAATAAGAAAACCCCCAGGCCCTTCAGCAGTGTGTTTACAGTGAGACAACAAAACATAAAGACAATCAAAATTAAACATATATACTTTACCTAAATAATAAGTCATTCCTATCATGCTAAAGTAGTGAGGACTCTCATCCAAATTGACAACAGCCCGACTTACGAGTATAGGATAAAATCAATCTCAACTCTGTATTTGTGTCCCAAAGTAGGAGTGTGCCGCTAGGCATAAATATAGGAGAGAACTTGAAAGAGAGAAAAATTGAAAAAATGTCTTCTCTGTCTTTTGTATTTAGTCTACTATAGCCAAATTCATAAAAATAAATGGTATTCCTAACACTGTCAGTTGACGCTCTCATTTGATTGGTACAGTGCAGCATTTTGACACCTAGATGTTTCAGGACACTTTAACATTAGGAATGCAAACATGTATTATTTGCGCTATAGTGTTCCTTTACTGATCGGTAGTTCATGTAAGTTTTTTTTTTTCCTGTGAATAGTGACTCCTCATTCACAAAACTGGCTTGGAAAGAAACGTACCTTTACCAAACCAGTTCTGTGAATGGGGAGTCACTGATTGGCTGAGTGTCAGCTAACCGCTACCAGCTTATCAGTGGCACCCCGGAGACACTGCACAGACCCCAGATGCTGCCTCTGGTGAGTGGACATCGCTGCTGTTGACAACTTATTGGTTAAACCATTTAAACTCTGTTTAAAGACAGGAAGCGGCCTTAACCCTGCAATAAAAACACTGCCGTTTGTCTCAAACTGCACTGTTTACATTGCAGGGTTAAAGGTGCATATGGTGTCCTTTAACCCTACTTCATGATAATTCCTTTAATTTGTTCATAGACAGATATCAAGCTGTCCTGTGACAGGATTGTGATTGTTCATCTTTCCTGTTTCATCCAACATTTCAGGGCAGCAGAAGGAAAGACGTATGACGATGTATAATAACCACCCAGCACAGCTTCCTCGCTGCAACCTGCACCGCGTGCCCATAATAGTCATGTGACACAAGAAAGCATTTCAATGTTCGAGAACGAGGGAGGGAGGAGTCTGGGAGTCGCACTTTAATGACGTCGTTTCCTGTGGCTTGTCTTGATTCAAGGGTGCCGAAGGAGAAACGTGCAACCCTGGGCAGAGAATTTTAAAATGGTAGTGGGGAGAACTAGCGCTATAGCGGCCGGGGTGTGCGGGGCTTTGTTTCTTGGCTACTGTATCTACTTCGATAGGAAGCGGAGGAACGATCCCAACTTCAAGAACAGACTGAAAGAGAGTAAGGCAACCCATGGTCCTGTGTGTGTGTGTGTGTGTATGATGGGCCTTGGCTACATGTCACGGGGGGTAGGGATGTTCAGTGCTTGTCTTTTAACCAGTGCACGTAGACCTGACCTGTTTTGTTTTCAGCTCATGATGAAATGTAGTATGCAAGCTGTTACCATTAGATATGTCATTCAATGTAGCGAAGGAATGCTGTGCCTTGCTAATGTAAAGGGGTAAACATGTTGGGTCATAAATGAACATTTCAAGTGCCATAAACACTACAGCACTGTTAGTGGTTATGGTGCTAAGAGTGATCTTATGCACCTCATTATAAGTAGTTAATGTTTTTTAGAATAGATTGAATTTTTATCTGGGATTTGCCATGCGCTGACTCCCACCTCTCCAGTTAGGAGCTTTAGCTAAGCTGTGAAGTAAGCCCTGCAATGCCATTCATTGTGGGGGACACTAGGGCATTCCTGAAGCCATAATGACTACAGTGCATTGTAATGGTTTTGGTGTTTGGAATGGTTCTTTAAATAGAATTGTCACTTTTCAGGAAGTGTCATTTGTTTTCTGCACTGTATTAAATTTTTTACTGGGGTGCGTGGAGAGATTAGTAAAACAAAACTATTCTTAAAGGCCTTCCCCTGTAGAAATGCATTAAATAAATGCTTTTCTATGGTGATTTTAAGACACTGGACATCCTCATGCAAAGTGAAACAGAAGGAAGCTCCTCTAGTGACTGTCTGGTAGACCGTATTGTTTGTCTAAACCTGCAATGTTTTACATTAAAGGGCTAAGGGGTCAGGGACACTTCTATGAGCTGAAGTGGTGTGGGTGTCTATAGGGTCCCTTTTAACTTCGCTGTTCAGCGTTCTTGGCAACTTCACTGCCACAGTGAAATAGGCTGAAGTGGTAATGGTGGCTAGAGTGTCTTGCAGTGTACAGACAAGGAAATGATCAGCCAATCGGGTTGCTTTGGAAGCCATCTATGGAACTAACTTCACTCCATAAATCCATGTGCATTAAGCTTCTATGGGTAAAGCTTATTGGAAGTTGTAGTTTAGTTATCAGATTTTTGCTTATGAAAGCTTAAAGGATCACTATGGGGTCAGGAACCTTTTGGTGATTCCCCCACCCCACCCCCTGCCATGTGGAAAAGACAGTGTTTGCATAAAAATTCCTGAAGGGAGCTATTATACTCACCAGAAAAACTATATTAAGCTGTAGGTGTTCTGGTGACTGTAGTGTCCCTTTAAAGGAAACACTAAAGGCACCCAGAATACTTAATCTCGATGAAGGCACACTTCACCCCTGTCTTTTGAAGCCTGCAATGTTTTACATTGCAGGGTTAACTTGCCAATAGTGGCTGTCAGTAAGACAGTCACTAGAAGAGCTTCTTTGCAATTACTGCATTAAACTCTGTTAGAAATCAAATGCTGCCCATAGAGCAGCATTTGATTGGTACATTGCAACATTTTGACACCTAGATGTCTCAGAACACGATAACATTAGGAATTCAAACATGTATTCTTCACGCTATAGTGTTCCTTTAACTGATCAGTCGTACACATAAGTGTTTTTATTTTTATTTTTTGGGCTTACTAATGATTTGGAATACTTTATTGGACAAACACAGAAAGGGAGCTGTGTCGTCACATACCACATACAATAATTAGCAAGATGTTCAAATAGGCTGGAAGGACTGGTGAGACAGGATTAAGCTGCAGAATGTGTCAGACGTTTAAAGAAACACTATAGTAACTAAAACAACTTTAGCTTAATGAAGCAGTCTTGGTGTATATAGATCATGCCCCTGTAGTCTTACTGCTAAATTCTCTGCTATTTAGGAGTTAAATCAGTTTTGTTTCTGTTTATGCAGCCTTACCCACTCATCTCCTGGCTGTGACTCACACAACCTGCATGAAAAATGGTTTAGTTTTTAATCAGATGTTAACTTGCTACAGAAGTTTTCATCTCCTGCTCTGTAAATTGAACTTGAATCACATACATGGGTGCTCCTTCAAGGTCTAGCAGGTTATTAAAAGTGTAGGAGATTATAAATTCTACATTAAACAGACTGTGCAATAAAGGACGTTTAACCATTACGTTGCTTTTAACAGAAAGTGTTTAGGAAAGCTAGGCCTGCATAACTAGAGTGATTTAACTACTAAATGGCAGATTATTGAGGAGTGAGACTGCAGAGGCATAATCTATACACTTAAACTGCATCATTAAGCTACAGTTGTTTTTGGTGACTATAATATCCCTTTGAATTTTTCTAGTTATTTTTACTAAAACTGTAAACATTTTATCATGCAAAAATATACAGATTATTAAAAATAACTTGGGCCACAATGTTGTGTTGGTGATTAGAATATTGCTTTAAAGGCACACTCTTAAGTACCAAAGCCACTACATCTTTATGTAATGATGTTGGTGCCAAGAAAATCCTAGGGATACCACTACTGGCCATCCTCAGATCGCTGCTAGAGGTGCTTACTGGGGCCGTGCTGCACAGTGTCTTCACCCACTGCATGGAGACACTGAACGTTCCTCATAGAGGTGCATTGATTCAATGCATCTCTTTGAGGAGATGTTGATTGGGCTGGGCTGGGTTTGGCTTGTGTTGGCTCTGCCCCAATCTGCCTCCTTTACATTCTCAGCCAATCCAATGCTTTAGCGTGGTAAATCATTGTAATTGGCTTTGCACAACACTCTGATTTCAGCCAAGCAGGCAAAACAGGGTGCAGAGCCAGCAGCAGCAGACTGGAGTAAAGGTAACATTTTACCATATTTAGGGGGGGTCTAGATGGTGTTGTTAACCCCATGTGGTCAGGAATACATGTTTGTTTTCCCCACCTGATGGTGTTCCTTTAACCCCTTAAGGACACATGACATGTGTGACTTGTCATGATTACCTTTTATTCCAGAAGTTTGGTCCTTAAGGGGTTAAAGGACCACTACACACCCAAAAAGCACTTCAGCTTGCTGGAGTGTCCTAGATTAACCTCAATTTATAAAAGTACAGGTTTTCTATGAGAAATCGGCACGTTTTTAAAATTAACTAGGGAACACCCCCTCTGGCTCTCAAACAGCGATGGATGTTTGCAGCTTTCTTCTTTTAGCTCCTCTAAGCTAACGAAAGTGGCAGGAGCGCTCTACTTGAACATGTCTGCTTCCTCCCACACAGACCTCAGACCAGACATTCACAAGCCGACACACGCAATGGTGCACAAGCCAGCAGCTCTACATGTGGATGCCAGTTTAGAGGCTTCTCAATGAGAAGTCTCTGATTATTTCCGTGTGAAGAGATGAGTCTTTTCAGGGCTTGTGAAGACTGCAGTTCATAAGATCTGCACCCTTTGCAAGCACTTTAAAGATATACCCACAATGAATACATGTATTTATTCATTGGGGATATATCTACTAAACAGTGGTTTTTAGTGTTTTTTTTTTTGTTTTTTTTTTTTCCATTTTGTAGAGTGTTTCTTTAAAGTCTGTGAGAATAAAGTGTAAGGCTTGTAAAGGCTACAGACAAGAGATTTGCAGCCAAGGCCTCCCATTCGCCCCAACGTGTTTTTTTTTTTTTGTTTGTTTTTTTTTTTACATCGAGATGCTCTTTAAAGGACCACTATAGTACCAGGAAAACAATAGGGATGGACCGATATTGATTTTTTTTTTTTTTTTAGAGCCGATACCGATATTCTGTGAACTTTCAGGCCGATAGCCGATATAATTTGCCGATATTCTGTACATTTACCATTTTGGAATATAAAAACTATTTCTAAAGGTAAATGCACAAAATATACATGCCACGTGTAGTGGATGCAGTGTGTTTAGACAGGGGAGCTGTGTGTGCAGTGTGTGTTTGTGCAATGTGTGTGTGTAGTGGATGCAGTGTGTATTTGTCGAGTGTGTGTGTGTAGTGGATGCAGTGTGTATTAGTGTAGTGTGTGTGTGTGTATATAATGAAAGCAGAGTGTTTGTGTAGTGGGTGGGTAGTGTGCATAAAGTGAATGCTGTATATACTAAATGCAAAGTGTGTGTGTGTGTGTGTGTGTGTGTGTGTATATAATGAATGCAGAGTGTGTGTGTATAGTGAATGTAGTGTGTTTATATAATGCAGAGTGTGTGTGTTTGTATAGTGTGTGTATATAATGCAGTGTGTTTGTGTAGTGTGCATTATATACACACACTATACAAACAGACCTCAGACCAGACATTCTCAAGCCGACACACGCAATGGTGCACAAGCCAGCAGCTCTACATGTGGATGCCAGTTTAGAGGCTTCTCAATGAGAAGTCTCTGATTATTTCCGTGTGAAGAGATGAGTCTTTTCAGGGCTTGTGAAGACTGCAGTTCATAAGATCTGCACCCTTTGCAAGCACTTTAAAGATATACCCACAATGAATACATGTATGTATTCATTGGGGATATATCTACTAAACAGTGGTTTTTAGTTGTTTTTGTTTTTGTTTTTTTCATTTTGTAGAGTGTTTCTTTAAAGTCTGTGAGAATAAAGGCTTGTAAAGGCTACAGACAAGAGATTTGCAGCCAAGGCCTCCCATTCGCCCCATCGTGTTTTTTTTTTGTTTTTGTTTTTTTTTGTTTTTGTTTTTTTTTACATCGAGATGCTCTTTAAAGGACCACTATAGTACCAGGAAAACAATAGGGATGGACCGATATTGATTTTTTTTTTTTTTTAGAGCCGATACCGATATTCTGTGAACTTTCAGGCCGATAGCCGATATAATTTGCCGATATTCTGTACATTTACCATTTTGGAATATAAAAACTATTTCTAAAGGTAAATGCACAAAATATACATGCCACGTGTAGTGGATGCAGTGTGTTTAGACAGGGGAGCTGTGTGTGCAATGTGTGTTTGTGTAGTGGATGCAGTGTGTATTTGTCGAGTGTGTGTGTAGTGGATGCAGTGTGTATTAGTGTAGTGTGTGTGTGTGTATATATAATGAAAGCAGAGTGTTTGTGTAGTGGGTGGGTAGTGTGCATAAAGTGAATGCTGTATATACTAAATGCAAAGTGTGTGTGTGTGTGTGTGTGTATATAATGAATGCAGAGTGTGTGTGCATAGTGAATGTAGTGTGTTTATATAATGCAGAGTGTGTGTTTGTGTAGTGTGTGTGTATATAATGCAGTGTGTTTGTGTAGTGTGCATTATATAAACACACTACACAAACACACTGCATTATATACAGTGTGTTGTATAGTGTGTGTGTGTGTGTGTATATAATGCAGTGTTTGTATAGTATGCGTATATAATGCAGTGTGTGTATTTGTGTGCATTGTATACACACACTATACAAACACACTGCATTATATACACACTGCATTATATACAAACACACACTGCATTATATACAGTGTTTGTGTAGTGTGTATATAATACACACACACTATACACACACACACACTATACACACACACACACTATACACACACACACACTATACACACACACACACTATACACACACACACACTATACACACACACACACTATACACACACACACACACTACACACACACTGCATTGTATACACAGTGTTTGTAGTGTGTGTGTGTGTGTGTGTGTATATAATGGAGTGTGTGTGAGGGGGCATTTTTTATTAAATTATTAATTTTTTAGATTTAATTATTTATTTTTGTTGTCCCCCCTCCCTGCTTGTTACCTGGCCAGGGAGGGGGGATATAGCAGTCCCTGGTGGTCCAGTGGTATTGGCTGAGCTTTTGGGGGGGGGGGGGGCATCAAGCATTTACTCACCTCCCAGCAGCTCCTCCAGCTCCCCAGTGCAACTCTCGCAGCCAGCGTGTCGTGCGGAGCGTTGCCATGGTGACCCATGGCAACACTCTGACGGCCGCGGGTCTCGCGAGAGTTACACTGGGGAGCTGTAGGAGCTGCTGGGAGGTGAGTAAGTGCTTGATGCCCTCCCCCCCAGGACCGCCGGGCTTGTAATGAGCCCAGCGGTCCTAGGAGGTATTATCGGCAATATCGGTATCTGAATTGGCCGATATTGCCGAAAATACCGAATATTGGCCGATTATATTGGTAAAACCGATAATCAGTCGATCCCTAGAAAACAAACTAGTTTTCCTGGCACTATAGTGCCCTGATGGTGCCCCCACCTTCAGGGTCCCACTCCCGTCGTGCTCTAGGGGGAGGAAGGGGTTAAAATATTATCTTTCTCCAGCACCGGGCTTTGCTGGGGAGTCTCCTCCTCCTTTGGTCGTCATCTGCTGAATGCGCATGCGCGGCAAGAGCTGGGTGCGCATTCAGCCAGTCCATAGGAAAGCATTCTCAATGAGTGAGAAGCGCCTCTAGCGGCTGTCAGTGAGACAGCCACTAGAGGCTGGATTAACCCATATGTAAACGTAGCAGTTTCTCAGAAACTGCTATGTTTACAGCAGGCAGGGTTAAACCAAGATGGACCTGGCACCCAGACCACATAATTGAGCTGAATTGGTCTGGGTGCTTATAGTGGTCCTTTAAGTGGCTACTCCTACATTCATAATTATTTTACTTTTGGAAGAAACGCCTTCACTACAATCTGTTTTTGTTTGAAAATCTTGGCATGAAATTTTTTTTTTTTTTTTTTAAGCATGGTTGGCACATAAAAGAAAAAGATAAAGTGGCAATTATGTGTACGCATTGCCTTTCACACAAACATAAAAATTATGGACATTTACAAACGTTTTATTTGTTCCTTTTATCTCTTATAAACATATTTAGGGAATGAAAAGTTTTAGAATATATACCGTATCATTTGCCTTGCAATATTTTAAACAGTGTCTGAAATATTTTTATAAAAGCAAAACTAGTTGTTCTCACAGAAATGGTCCAATATCCTCCTTGAAGGTATTTGTAAGGATGGTGAATGCATTACTAGCAGTTAAGCATACACAAATGGTTACAGAATGCAAAATAAATATCTTCATTTGACTAAAATAGAGGTATTTAAAACGTTTTGTAGCAATCACTTTAACCCCTTAAGGACACAACTTCTGAAATAAAAGGGAATCATGACAGAATATTTCCGTCATGTGTCCTTAAGGGGTTAATGTAATTATGCCTTTCCCTCCCTAACTGGCTGTTGCATTGGATGTTATCAACTTAGATTTTGCTATGGCATTTTTGATAAAGCTCCACACAAGATTATCAAAAGGGTTCTTCAATAGAACATTAGTTTAAAGGCAGTGAGCAGTTGTAAATGGGAACATTTTTAAATTGGACAGAAATGGTAATTGAAGTACCTAATAGTCCTGTTCTGGTTCTACTTGTCTTTTAACCAGTTTTTAAAAATGATCTTGAAGTGGGAATTGGAAGTCTTGAGTCTGCATTTGCAGATGACCCAAATCTGGGAACAATTATAGATTTAAAAAAATAAAATAAAAATACTAGGCAACATTTTGCAATCCTGGCTGCTATTGCAAAAGTTGGTAAGGTGCTGTCATGCATATAAAGTATTGATTCATATTTATAATATATATATATATATATATTCAATAGATTGATTGATATCATGGAGTCAGGAAGGATTATTATTTTATTTTTTTTAAATCCTTTTGTGGCATAAATTACCCATTGCTTCAAACTGGAGTTTCTCTAATCTTTTGGATCACCAGCATAAGATGTCTAAATGTTGAACTTGTTGAACTTGATGGACTTGAGTCCTTACTTTCTCCTACACAATCTTGGTAAGGAAACTAGTTTTCTTTAAACTCTTCACTTTCTATGTAATCTGTTTTATATGCCAAAATTGACAGAATGGAAAGAAATACTATTCAGTTTTTGTGTTCACCTGTTCCATTCATGAAACTGAAATGTCACATTAGCTTCCGAGCCATACTTTTCTTACCTCTTGATATATGCATGATGCTTCAATATTATAATGTGAACAGTTTAGCTAATAGGGAAGTAATAATATATATATGTATAAATTATGCTGTGTTTTGCAGAACGGCGAAAACAAAAGCTTGCTAAAGAAAAAGCAGGACAGTCAAAGGTAGGTGTTAATAATTCAGGAAAGCGATAAATAAAATGGCATATCTTTGCTGATTTAACAGTTTATGGTACAAGCAACTCCTAATTTAAAGCATCTGCATCATTCAACATCAGATTGACAGTCATGTTAGAATATCGGAGGAAATGATCAAGTTGCAGTATACATAACAAGTGATCGGCACAATTATTATTTTTTAATATATATAACAATAATTAATAATAACAAGCTTATATCAATAAGGGAGATCAGGATGAGTTCCCCTAGAGGCCCCAGGCTGGTAGTAAGGTAAGAAAAGCAAATAAAAGCAAGGTCAGAGATGAAACCATGGATATGATGAGGTAACATAGGCGAAATGAAACCCAAGGAGCTGGATAAATAGACAGTGTTGTAGGCAGTCCCTCATATAAACAATGGTGAGAGTATTAATAAGCCATCTTCCTGATGCAGTTCCAGAACACAAACAAGCCCACACCAACTAGGGGTAGAGCAGCTGAGGTGTGAAAGATTATACATATTATTCTATGGTGACTTGCATACTAACAATGAGTTAACTATAAAGAAATCTTGTTGGCTTAAGACATGTGCCAGCTCAGTACTGGAAAGGCTACAGCTGGATGGGGGGGGGAATGAAGGATGAGGCCAACACTACAAAACACCAAAGATTTTGCTTGTGGCCACTGGGCAGGATAGCGGGGCGTCAGCCGTCCATCTCGCTCACCTCCTGAGTAGGCACCGCCTCCAATATGCCAAAACGCCCACCTATGCACCAGAACGCGCAGTATGGTCGCTGCTTCAGCACTAGCATCTCTGTGCACTCAGGGCAACCACTGCTAAGTTTCGCACAGTCAGATTAATAGCTGATTTGGAGCCTTACAAGCATAAAGTAGATTTCACTTTCCCATTTCCCTGCTGTACTGCTAATCTACTTTTTCTTTTTTCTTTTTTTTTCCTGACTTACCGCTTTTCTCTCTCTATCTTTTTCTATTCAAGAATGATGTTCTCACTCCTTCTCCTTGTTAGTCTTTTTCACTTCTAACCATGACATTTCTTTTAATCTTCATTGTAGTATATGCAAAAGTTTGGTAGTTTGGGTAAATGAAAGGCCTGAGTATATTGTGGCACCCTTACCTCAAACTCACAAATTTTCTTTGAATCTAGAAGCCAGCTATAAATATAAAGTCCGTTTTTTATTTTAAATAACACCGCTGTATTTTTAATGACAAATATAACCTCTTAAAGGGACCCTATAGTCTCCAGAACCACCACAGCTTGATGTGCCTTTAGCCTGTCCCTTCAGAGAAAAGGCTGTGTTTACATTGTTGCCTAGTAACACCTAGTGGCAGTCACTCAAACGGCCACTAGAGGTGCTTCTAAGTCCAGCTCTGCATGGAGGAGCTAAACTTCTTCTATAGAGATGCATTGATTCCATGGAGGCAGAGGCGGACGCAGCGATAAGGATAAGCTAGTAAAATCACCTTTCCCATGCAATCAGAGGGGGATCGGCCACAATAAATAGTTTAACATTTTACTGTCCGGAATACATGTCTGTATTCCTGACACTATAGTTTTCCTTTATATTTCCACATGAAAACTAGAAAAAAACCAGCATGGGCATTTAACTTATGCACTTAATGAATGTATTCTGATGTGATAGATCAGATGTTTTTGCAGTGTTTTAATTGTTTTTACTTTGCTTATTGTGGCCATGAACCTGCCTTGTATTTTTAGATTTATAGCATCAATAATCACAGATACACACTCACAAATTACTTTTAATTTTAATTTGTCTACCCACCCTCCCTACCTTTGGGAGAGCTGGAGTGGATTATTTTCCTGAGGTGTAGTATGGATGCTGTCATCTTCCTGCTCCCTTGCACACCTTTTTAGTGATGCTGGTGTGACCTCATATTCTAGCACCTGACATCACACAGGTCATGTGAAAAAGCAAAGCAGGAAGATTAAAGCTCCCTCACCGTTCGTCTCCTTTCTGCACAGCCACCCATCTCAGTGGTGAACGGCTGACAAACACCAGGACAGAATTCTTAGTCAACCTTGGCTTTGTTTAGCCTTGCCCAAATTGATCTTACATTCGAACTATGAATTTTCATAATGTTGTTGTTTTTTTGTTTTATTTATAGTTGCCTGATCTTAAAGATGCTGAAGCTATTCAAAAATTTTTCCTTGAAGAAATTCAGCTTGGAGAAGAGTTACTAGCACAAGGTTGTTATAAACTGCACTTGACATATACTTCTGTTGCAGATCTTTATTTCACTGTAGGTGGTTGTAATAACATGCTTTAGTGTACCTTTTAAGGAAAGCTCTTCCATGAATACAATCTGGTTGCATCAAACCTGTCTTGGTGGCTATATACAGCACCATTCTAGGTATTTTTCAGGCACCTCATCCTCCATCCTCCAGATGTTGCTGAACTACAGCTTGCATGATTCTCTGGCAATCTAGCTAATATATTTAAAAAGAAAAAAAGCTGTAAGCTATAGGCTTTCAACAACTAAGAGCTTGATTGAGATCCATGCTGTTGGTGTCTGCCTGATTGTATAAGGAGCCCAACTTGACATAATATCAATATAAATAATTTCAACAAATTTTGTGGGGAATATGTAAACTTTACAATGTAGGCAACGCTGAACTGGAACGGTTTAGTTATAGTTGTGGTAGTTAGACTACTTGACCACTTTCTTCTTGATAGGCACTTCCTATGTTCTCATGTGTCGGATAAAATATTTTATACTTGTGTTTAATTGCTTCCCTTATCCAGGTGACTTTGAAAAGGGTGTTGATCACTTGACAAATGCTATTGCCGTATGTGGACAGCCCCAGCAGTTGCTCCAGGTTTTACAGCAGACTCTTCCTCTGCCTGTTTTCCAGATGCTCTTGACTAAACTACCAACAATTAGCCAAGTAAGAAATATTTTATTTAGTACTTATTTATTTTTGGTACAGTGGCTGATATTCAGAACATTTCATTATATGCAAGTGTTGCAGGCATTTGCATATTAGACATTTTTTATTTTTGACCGACATGTTTGTAATATATTTTGTCCTTCAGCCTGTTGCATTTTTTTTCAAACATAATTATAAAGTATAAAGGTTGCCCATAAAGTAGTTATGGTTAGTCTTGGACCTTGTTTTTTACATAGATTATTTTGATCTGATAGGATCTCTCTAGGAAAGTCTGCCCAGTTTCTATGTACTTGGTGATATTGTTTGTAACAATGAAACTAAAGTGTAATTATTACTGCCATTGGAATGCTTTGCCAACCAGTGGATGTAAGTGATCCCTGCCTTTTTAATGCACACAAGTAATGAGAAGGCACTAGTAATAAGGACCCACCTGCGTGTTTCCAGCCATAGTATATTTCCTTCACAACTCCAATGGTATAAAGGACTGTGCACAGTTCAGGAAGACTGTCCAAGACAGAGATTTATTGAAGAAAAGGAATCACAACATCATCAAGCTTTATAGTGATTCCATTGTGATTCCTTTCCTTCAATAAATCTGTCTTTTACCATGTTTTTGAATTTTGCACAGTCCCTGCTTCTTTAAGGACTTTGCTTTTAAAGGTCTCTCTGCAAAAAGCAAAACCTAGTATCAGATTCCTAGTCTATTGGTCTACAAGAAGTCTGTAGTGATTGAGTGCTTCAAAACAACAACTCTTTGCATGTGAGTTTTTCCAAGCATGATTCAGGAGCCCCTTCTTTCCTTATTATGCTCTTCGTTCTAGAAATAAGCAATATTGTCAGAATAGCCCTTTATTTGCCTTGGTTGAAATATATCAGCCAGCTTATTAAATTACTACTTGTAATGTTTTACTGTATACTTTGTCCGTTTCAGTATTTTATCTCTAACAGTTTGGCATGAAGACTCATCCTCTGTCCATTGATGTTTCCGCCATCCTTATGATTTAACTAATTCCCCAAAGCTGTGTCTCTTATTTTTATTTTTTTGTTTTTTTTACCATTTTTGTTCTACTCCTCTTATGTTGTTTATATGTAACTTTTTTTTATGTTTGTCTTACAGAGGATTGTGAGTTCTCAAACCCTCACTGAAGATGATGTGGAGTAAAATAAACAAATCCAAATTTAGTTCTTCACTGCAAAAGTATTCCAATTGCATCTATGATATGGCTGCTGGACATTTTCAATTTCATAAGTAGGGCAAAAATGTGAAATCAGAGTGGTGGGATTTTATTTATTGTTTTGTTAAATGTGTGTTTTTGTTTTACTTTAACATTCTGTGGGAAACATGTAAATCTTGTGTTTTGTGTTTTTTTTTTTTGTTTTTTTTCAAGCAAAGCTTTTGTTTAGAATGTACATATCATAAATGCCCATTTTTGTATAAGGCAATAAAAAAAATCCTCCCATTTTTTTGAGCACTTTTTTTTAAAAAAATTTTTTTTATTTTTTTGTGGTCTTCCCTTCAATAATTGATTCAAAATGTGTGATTAAAAGCAGGGAAGGTTGGTATGTATGTTTGTTTGTATAGTTCTGTTCTCTTCTCAAGTAAAGAGTACTGATTTCCTGAAGTAAAAACTCACATTGTCATTCAATTCCCCCTCACATTCACATATACAAATAATAAGTATAACAATTAATTCATAATTAAAGGTTGATGTCCTCATCCTGGCTGTAAATACCCAGTCGGTAAGACCTGTACAGTAAGCTGTCTGTAATTGAAAATAATTTAGCCAGTTATGATCCACCCAAGTCAAAGCTTTTGGGGATTTCAGGGGTTTGAGAGTTGTACTTTAGCTGTTCTTTCTAATATATAAGGTGACTGTTACACTGCAACCCATATGTGCCCATGTTGTGCTGATTTTCATAGTTCAAATTCTCTTGTTGTATCATTGCTTCTAATATTGTTACGTTTATTTACTTTGGAACTATTTATTTTATTTGATTAAGTGTTATCAGATGTATCACTCGCTACAGCAGTGCATGGACAAGCACCTTTGCTGTATCAGGTGTTAAATAGGGTCAGATGCGCGCAATATTTTTGAGATGGAAGCGGCAGGATTTGGCGATTGATTGGACATGAGGGGTGAAGGAGAGGTCAGAGTCAAAGAGAACACCTAGGCAGCGAGCCTTAGAGGTAAAGTGGATGGTGGTGCCATTCACTTGGAGGGACACAGACAAGGAAGTAGTAACACTTGAGGGAGGAAAGACCACAAGTTCTGTTGGACAGGTTCAGTTTAAGTAAATGGTATCTCTGCTATACCACATCCACCCTATGCTCTTTCTCTACCACATCTTACACCACCCAAGTACCATTTACTCTCTGCTCCTGGACCAAGCTCCCACATCCAGTCAGCCACCTCTCATGCCTTTTCAAACTCTTGGACACACCTCTTTACCCGAACATTCTCTGATACTCATTCCTCTGGTTAGCTCACCCTGAATTTACCAGATCCAATTCCTTCCAAATATCTCTCTCTTCTGACTTATGCATCTTTGATCCTGATCCTTACCTCCTCTAGCTATATCATAATCTGTCTTGCCGAGACAAATTTCAAACCAAAGCTCAATGTGCAGATTGACGTCAGGCATGGGTGCTGCAGATTGGCTAGAGTGGTCAGTTGACGCTCTAAGCCAATCGCTAGTTCCTGGTGTATAAAAATGTTTTACTTTTTTTTATGAATGGGGAGCTACTGATTGGCTTAGAATGCCAGCTGACTGCTCTAGCCAATCAGCAACACCCCTACCCAGCGGCACTCTGTGCTTCTTGACATTCAGTAAATAAAAGTGAACACATTAACACATTATTATTTTTTATTTATTTTTTTACCTGGGGAGCTGAGAAGGTCCAAAGTTTCCCTGCTAGGCCCAGGTACCAAAGCCTTATGATGTGGTGTCCAGAATAAAGTGGAGGGTTTACTTCACTTATCCTTCCTGCTCCAATCTCCTTTTCTTCTCCTTCATTTGACAGTCTTTTTCTTCTGACACTATTCTCTCCTCCTTGGCTCCTTCTGCTCCTTTACCTTTCTGCTTATTTTGCACCCTTCTGCTCCTTTCTCTTTCTGATCCCTTTTCTGATCCTTCTGCTCCTTTACCCTTGTGCTCCTTCTGATTCTTTCTGCTCTTTGCAGACCCTTCCTTATCCTTGCTGACCCTTCCTGCTAATTTCTACTCCTTCTCCGACTTTACGTTTGTGCTCCTTCTGCCCCTTCCAGCTCATTACTGACCCTTTCTGCTCTTTGATGTCCCTTCCTGCTCATTTCTGTTTCTTCTTCTATTTTACGTTTGTGCTTCTTCTGTCCCTTCCTGCTCCTTGCTGACCCTTTCTGCTCCTGCTACTTTACCTTCGTGCTGCTATACCTTCTTGCTCCTTGCAGACCCTTCTTGCTCCTTGCAGACCCTTCTCCTTTCTGCTCCCTCTTACTTTACCTTCCTGCTGACCTTTCCTGTAGGCTGTCTTCCACATCCCTCACTTACCTAATCTATAGGCTGCCTCCCCCCATCCCTTGCTTATCTGATATGTATGCTGCACACCCCCCATCTCTCACTTACCTCATCTATAGGCTGTCTCTCTCCCCCAATCCCTCACTTACCTGATTTATAGGCTCTCACTTCCCTGATATATAGGCTGCCCCCCCATGCCTCACTTCCTTGATCTGTAGTTTGCCCTCCCCACCTCACCCCCCAATGCCTCACTTACCTGATCTGTAGGCTGCCTCTGCAGTCTAGGAGTTGCTGGCTGCACTCTGTGCTGCTCTCTTTGAGGATTCATTCAGGAGAGAGAAGCAGGGATAAGATGTAGCTTCCTATCCTTGTCTCTCTCCATAGAAACATAGAATGTGACGGCAGATAAGAACCATTCGGCCCATCTAGTCTGCCCAATTTTCTAAATGCTTTCATTAGTCCCTAGTCTTATCTTATAGTTAGGATAGCCTTATGCCTATCCCACGCATGCTTAAACTCCTTTACTATGTTAACCTCTACCACTTCAGCTGGAAGGCTATTCCATGCATCCACTACCCTCTCAGTAAAGTAATACTTCCTGATATTAGTCTTAAACCTTAGAGGGACTAATTTAAGACTATGTCCTCTTGTTGTGGTAGTTTTTCTTCTTTTAAATATAGTCTCCTCCTTTACTGTGTTGATTCCCTTTATATATTTAAATGTTTCTATCATATCCCCCCTGTCTCGTCTTTCCTCCAAGCTATACATGTTAAGATCCTTTAACCTTTCCTGGTAAGTTTTATCCCACAATCCATGAACCAGTTTAGTAGCCCTTCTCTGAACCCTCTCTAAGGTATCAATATCCTTCTGAAGATACGGTCTCCAGTACTGTGTACAATACTCCAAGTGAGGTCTCACCAGTGTTCTGTACAATGGCATGAGCACTTCCCTCTTTCTACTGCTAATACCTCTCCCTATACAACCAAGCATTCTGCTAGCATTTCCTGCTGCTCTATTATATTGTCTGCCTACCTTTAAGTCATCAGAAATAATCACCCCTAAATCCCTTTCCTCATATGTTGAGGTTAGGACTCTATCAAATATTCTGTACTCTGCCCTTGGGTTTTTACGTCCAAGATGCATTATCTTGCACTTATCCACATTAAATGTCAGTTGCCACAATTCTGACCATTTTTCTAGTTTACCTAAATCATTTGCCATTTGGCTTATCCCTCCTGGAACATCAACCCTGTTACATATCTTAGTATCATCAGCAAAAAGACATACCTTACCATCAAGACCTTCTGCAATATCACTAATAAAAATATTAAAGAGAATGGGTCCAAGTACAGATCCCTGAGGTACCCCACTGGTGACAAGTCCAAGCTTCGAATATATTCCATTAACTACAACCCTCTGTTGCCTGTCACTCAGCCACTGCCTTACCCATTCAACAATATTTGAATCCAAACTTAAAGATTGCAGTTTATTGATAAGCCTTCTATGTGCAACAGTGTCAAAAGCCTTACTGAAATCTAGGTAAGCAATGTCTACTGCACCACCCTGATCTATAATTTTAGTTACCCAATCAAAAAAATCAATAAGATTAGTTTGGCATGATCTCCCTGAAGTAAACCCATGTTGTCTCTGATCTTGAAATCCATGTGTTTTTAGATGTTCAACAATCCTATCCTTTAACATGGTTTCCATCACTTTCCCCACTACTGAAGTAAGGCTTACTGGCCTATAGTTGCCCGACTCCTCCCTATTACCTTTCTTGTAAATGGGCACAACATTCGCTAACTTCCAATCTTCTGGGACTACTCCTGTTAACAATGATTGGTTAAATAAATCTGTTAATGGTTTTGCTAGTACACCACTAAGCTCTTTTAATAGCTTTGGGTGTATTCCATCAGGTCCCATTGACTTATTTGTCTTTACTTTTGACAGTTGAAATAGAACCTCTTCCTCTGTAAACTCACGTTTAAAAAAATGACCACCTACTGGCCGGCGCCGGTATTGCACTGTATTTTCAATCTCACATGAAAAATAGCAGAACAAGCTGAAAAATCCGGGGGGGCAAGTGAACTAGTTTCCAGTGCTCACGCTGTCACTAAACTGTGCGGCGGGATAAACTACCATGGGCCAATAAGGTACAGAGGGCGTGTAGTTCTTCATGCTGTCTCTGATTATGGTGCGAGAAGAACTACACGCCCTCTGTACCTTATTGGCCCATGGTAGTTTATCCCGCCGCACAGTTTAGTGTACCCGGTTGTTGCCTTTGACGAAGGCGCTTTGGTAGTGCCGTAACGTGCGTCAGACATCATGTCTCTTAATTTTTTATTTAAATTTTCACGACACTTTTTGTTTAACACTTTCTTTTGAGTGATGGTTAAGAGGACTTATCTAGCATACCCATAGTGACTTTTCTCTAAGATGGAGGAATTTTAGTGTATTTCAAGCAGGAGTTGGCTATCTAGGGATTTTTTATTTATTACCACTCAAGTACTGCGAATCTACATTTAGTTAGTGGTTTGAGAGTATGTTTACTACAGGTTTTTGTGCTAAGCCGTTCATGTAGATTTCCGTGCATCAATAGGTGGTCTTTATGCTTTTTGTGTAACCTTTAATTCAATTTCCTCTAGATAAGTTATCTTGTAGTTATGAGAAGATTGATTAAGTGAAGGCACATCTGTTTAGCACTAGGGCATACAGTGTTTCTATTTTTGGATAAAGCAGAAATATACAACGTGACAGACCTTCAATACTAGCAACTTAAGGCTATACAGGCTAAATCCGCTTGGGCATCTCTAGCCAAATATTACAAACTGACTACAAAACAGTTAAATATTTCTACCAATTTGTTAATTGTTCTCATTATAAAGCTGTCCACCTATTACCATTTGCTATTTAGCAACCCTAGATTACCTGATATCCTTTATCCCCATTAGGTCTGCTGAGCTTATTAGCTCTCCTCAGGGATTTAGAGAGTGATTATTTTTTATTTTGATACTTATGTTCTTCAGTAAAATGTGTTTTTTCATCAATTATATATATTTACTTGCAAACCAAGGGAACTTTTTTTGTGTTCCTTGGACATCATGTCCTTTGATCACATTGGTGCTTGTTCTTCAATTTTTAAGTGTTACCCCCTGTTAGAAGTCCCCTGGACATACTATAGGTCCATTTGTTATCGACTTATTTCAGATATTTTGTATCTACTTTAAAAAAGACAAAAAGGTGCTCTAAGTTTCTGAAAGGTTCTGAATTAAAAAAAAAAAGTATACAGAGAGCTTTTTGACATCTAGAATATGACATTTACTTTACCAAGGATTAGCTGGATTATTGCAGAAGGTAGGAAGTATGACCTCTTGATTAAGGTTCACTGTACTGATAAAATTAGGTTGCAAACATGGAAGAAGGAGAACGTATCTTGATCTGGAATGAGCTCATGGATGTTCTCCCACTCTCTTATCACGTCATAGCAATCATAAGTAGTCTTTGAAAACAGTATATTTAGAGGGCACTGTGAGGACTGATAGAACCAAGTCAAATCTCAAGGAGGAATAAGGTTGCGAATTGTATCTTATCCATGAAACATCATAGAAAAATCTTACAATCAAAGGGTGAGAATAGTAAAATAACTGACAGCCAAAATAGGATCCGTAAGAGTAGAACAGCTCAGTGTCCAGTGCTGAGGACTTGTGGGAATCATTTTGAATGTGTAGAAGGACTAAGACCTTTAGCAAAAATGAATTGCAGGAATCTATGGATGATAGGAATCAAAGGCTGGAGAGGATCTTTATTGAAGGATTTGCACTAATAGATTACATTTTTCCACATCCTCAGATAAATAGAGCTGGTCACTTTTCTACCTTTAGAGATTTAAGAGATGCCAAGTTGCTAAATTTAATCTTTTCTTCTCTTCGGGATGAACTTCCTGCTCCAGAAAATTCTGTGATTCGGAAGAGATATAGAAGGTCTTTGATCCAAGATCTTGGACAAAAGGGAAGACCTGCCATGACAGAAGCTTGATCAATATTTATTTTCTTAAGTAATGTTGGTATCAAAAAAGGAGGGAATAGGTATGACCAAGTGACTGAAAGGGTGTCAACACTTCTGGATTGTCTATTTTGAAGATGGAACCAAACCATTCCAGGTTTGTGTTGTCCCTTGAGGCCAAAATTCAGTTACTGGAATGCCAAACCTGAGAGTAATCTGATGGCAGAGAGACCAGTTTGACTCGTTAGTTGGCTTATCTGATTTGCCACGACATTTTCTAAATTGCATGTAGCCCTTAAGGATGAATTTATGACCAGATCACAATTTTCTGTGTAAACGGATTACTCTAACCTTGTTTTGTTCTCTTTCTCTTGTTTACTGGCAGGAAAAGCTTCATTTGGAATGAGTCTATATGGCATCCTAGTTTAAGAATATCCAGTTAGATTAGTTTGCGGCTGCAGAACCTCCCACCCTGAATAAAAGCTCCAAGATAGACACACAGTGATGTCTGGGGCTTAACCCCTAAGTGATTGAAAACAAAAGGAGGTACCAAATATCCCCATTCAAAACCAAAAAGGGTTTTGAATGTTAATATAAACTGGATGTTGAAAGGAGCAATAGACATAAACAACTATCTCAAAGCCAAAACAAAAAAGTATAATCTGAGTAGATACAAAAGCTGTAATGCTTTGCTCTGACTGAAAATTAACTCAAAGCTGTCCCCTCTAATATAGGCTTTAATCAAACATGGCCAAATTTAGGAGGTATACAGAGAGTTAATATATGCTTCTATCAGCAAGATAAGGGGAGATTCTTAGGTTTCTGTAGTGGATGTTCACTTTAAAGTGTGAACCCAATATAGGCTATTTAGATAGTCAGAGTATTGATCCTTTACCTCCTTTATGATAGTGAATTATAAATAGGTAAATGTTATAACACTTAAGGAAGATGCAGCACAGATATAAGAAAAGGCCTCTCTCCCTGTTAATCTTGCTTGACAGTCAGAGAATGAAAAAGAAAGAAAGAAGATATCGTTCTAATAAAATTATTCCATGCTTAAATATGCATGGTATAGACACCAAAGTGATAGTGAGTGCCCTGTGAAGTTAGAAAAGTTACCCTGCACATTCCAGTGCACGGCATGTGCACCTTCGTCAGGTGTAAAGTGTGTGTTGATTCTACACTGGCTTTTAAACTGTTATCCCCACGTGGGGTCCACGATCAGCAGCCAATCACACGGTGCCGCATGATTATAGTTTAAGGCTTCAGGTCTGAATACCTCTTTGTTAGAACAGCCCCCTTAATTGTAACCGGCCAATAGTCACAGTTTGAGTGTGATCATGACGGTGATATTTTAACCCTGCTTTAGATTACATAAATTGTCAGTCTTATCCTTTAGATAAAAAGGATAAATTATATTAGGGACATTCCGTTTGCACTTATACTGAAAACCAATTATTGTAAAACCCTTATTAGTAAATTCGCTGTACATGTTGGTAATATGAATTATAATGTTATTATGAGATTGCGGACTTTATATGGCTTCAATCAGTTAATGCCCCTTAGCTCAATTCATAAAGATCTGAGACTTGATAACCTATTAAAATCTTATTTTATACTTTTCATAATTAAGCCTCATCGATAACTCTGTAGTTATACAGAGTAGTCCAAAATTTCTATGAACATTATTAGCAGCTACCTACTTGTGAGTTTATACCATGAGGCACCGATGTTTGCGATGTCTACTTACAGAGTATAGGGTAAAATTAACCATTTCACTGCCAAGAATCAAAACGCTTAAAGGACCACTCTAGGCACCCAGACCACTTCAGCTTAATGAAGTGGTCTGGGTGCCAGGTCCTTCTAGGGTTAACCCATTTTTTTTATAAACATAGCAGTTTCAGAGAAACTGCTATGTTTATGAATGGGTTAAGCCTTCCCCCTAATCCTCTAGTAGCTGTTTCATTGACAGCCACTAGAGGCGCTTGCGTGCTTCTCACTGTGATTTTCACAGTGAGAGCACACAAGCGTCCATAGGAAAGCATTGTAAACGCTTTCCTATGCGACGGGCTGAATGCGCGCGCAGCTCTTGCCGCGCATGTGCATTCAGCCCAGGAGGAGGAGAGAAGGAGGAGAGCTCTCCGCCCAGCGCTGGAAAAAGGTAAGTTTTAACCCCTTTCCCCTTTCCAGAGCCGGGCGGGAGGGGGACCCTGAGGGTGGGGGCACCCTCAGGGCACTATAGTGCCAGGAAAACGAAAAGCTTATTTAATTGCTGGAATGCGAAATGATTTGTTATATGAAGTAAGTTAGATATTATATTCAACTGTAGAAAAGAGTTTAGTTATAGAGGCTTATCTATAATATTTGCAGTAGTCATATTAGAACCTTTTTGGTAATTGAGCACTATCTATTTGTATAAAGTTTGTAGTTCTACATAAGGACTGACTAAAACTATTCTTGTGCAAATTTATGACCTACCTCAGTTTTAACTATATAGTTTAATCGTAACTCTCTTACTATTAGTGTGATATGTAACCAATTCGTGAAACATTCGTAGATGTTGTTAATTGTATCTATTTCCAGAATGAGATATAATATTTATTCATATGCTAATTCTTTGCTGTTTTTCTTTTCATTCTGGCATAGAGTTTCAGTTGGCTACAGTTAAATTTTATCATAGAATGGTTAAGTATGGCTAGTGGTGTTGTGGAGACAGGCTCAGGCACTGAGGCTAGTGGTGTTGTGGGGACAGGCTCAGACGCTGAGGCTAGTGGTGTTATGGAGACAGGCTCAGGTACTGAGGGTAGTGGTGTTGTGGAGACAGGCTTGGAGACTATGGTGAGGCCTAATAGAAAGCAGTTGTTGTTGGGGGATTCCATCATAAGAGGTGTGGAGCTGGACAATGGTGGTCTTGTGAGATGTCTTCGCGGAGCTACTGCTCACAGAGACAGGAGATGTATTTGTAATATTGTTAAGCGAGCAAAGCAGGAAGGGGAATTGGATGTACTTGTCCATCTAGGGACAAATGACTTGGCTTGCAATGAGGTTTCAGAGGTTAAGGAAGTTTTTAGTGTTTTTGCCAATGCTATACGGCAGGTTGCTTCCACACTGTCATTCTCTGAAGTTCTGCCTGTGCATGACACTCAGAACAACAGGCGGATGCATATTAGGGACTTTAACTCGTGGCTTGGTGAATGGTGTCGGGAGAAAGAATTTGGCTTTACTTCTCATGGTAGCTCTGTTTGGAATGGAAATAAACTGTACAAAAAAAGATGGTTTGTATCTTTCTCAAAAGGGAACAAATGTCCTCAGTGAGCAGTTCAGAGGTTTTGCTAGGATGTATTTAACCCCTTAAGGACCAAACTTCTGGAATAAAAGGGAATCATGACATGTCACACATGTCATATGTCCTTAAGGGGTTAAACTAGGAGGGGGGGCAAAAGGGTGATAAAACATCAATCCAATTCTCCCCCAACACAAGGACAGAAGGTGCCTGTAGCAAGTGTGTTAAAAAATTATAAGCTTAGAGTCATGTCTACAAATGCTCGCAGTTTAGGGAATAAGATCCATGAACTTGTGGCAATAATGGCAACTGATAGTGTAGATTTAGTCGCTGTTACTGAGACATGGTATAATGAGAAAAATGACTGGGACATAGCAATACCAGGGTACTCTTTATATAGGAAAGATAGGGAAGGCAAGAAAGGGGAGGGGTGGCCTTGTATGTGAAGGATAGCATAAAATCTAGCCTAATAAAAGTTAGTGAGGCGAACATAGAGTCCATTTGGGTTACGTTAGAATTTGGTAATCACACAGTAACTCATGTAGGTGTGATTTATAGGCCCCCAGGACAAATTGAAGAGTTAGATAATCTACTAGTTGAGGAAATAGCTAAAATGACAATGAAGGGGAAGTTATCATCATGGGTGACTTTAATCTTCCTGATGTGAATTGGAAAACAAAAATAGCTGCTTGTGCCAGGAGCACACATATTCTAAACTCCTTACTGGGATTGTCTATAAAACAAGTCGTTGAGGAGCCAACTCGTAAAGAGGCCATACTAGATTTAGTGTTAACAAATGGAGATTTGGAGAGTCAAAAATGGGTCGAAAGAGAATACTGAGAACGGGCTGCAGCTGAAATAGCCTGCCCTTCAGTCAGTCCCCGCTCAGTTCTCAAGCTGATTTTTGCTCATCTTGTGCCATTACAGAGAGAACATATCTGAAGCATTTCAGACTGGTCCCACCCATACGGGCAGTCCAGATCCGAAATGCCAGCAAGTTCTCTCTGCACGAGAGATACAGTAACTCCAAACAATCGTTACCGCCTTGTTAGGCATCATCAGTGAGGCATAGCTGATATCTCCCTAGGCACCGTGAGCAAGGGGTCCATGTCTGGATTATCCCTTTAAACTTGTGGAGAGTCAAAAATGGGTTGCAAGAGAATACTGAGAACGGGCAGCAGCTGAAATAGCCTGCCCTTCGGTCGGTCTCCGCTCAGTTCTCAAGCTGATTTTTGCTCATCTTGTGCCATTACAGAGAGAACATATCTGAAGCATATCAGACTGGTCCCACCCATACGGGCAGTCCAGATCCAAAATGACAGCAAGTTCTCTCTGCACGAGAGATATAGCAACTCCGAACGATCGTTTCCACCTTGTTAGGCATCATCAGTGAGGCATAGCTGATATCTCCCTAGGCACCGTGAGCAAGGGGTCCACGTCCACAGTGAGGAAGACAGAATGATCTATAAGATTAGGCAGAAAGAGGCTAAGCAAGTTATAAGAGCTTCCAAATCACACACAGAAGAGAAAATAGCACAGTCAGTAAAAAAAAGGGGACAAAACATTTTTTAGATACATAAATGAGAAAAGAAAAGTAAAACAAGGATTAGTTAAATTAAAAACAAAAGAAGGAAGATATGTAGAAGAGGATAAAGGTCTAGCTGACTGCCTCAATGAATATTTTTGTTCGGTATTTACAGATGAAAATTAAGGAAAGGGACCTCAGTTAAGAAAAAGGATAAATTAGTCATTTATTACACGGGGAAGAGGTTTTATTTCAACTGTCAAAAGTCAAAATAAGACAAATAAGTCAATGGGACCTGATGGAATACACCTAAATCTGTTAAAAGAGCTTAGTGGTGTACTAGCAAAACCATTAACAGACTTATTTAACCAATCATTGTTAACAGGAGTAGTCCCAGAAGATTGGAAGTTAGCGAATGTTGTGCCCATTCACAAGAAAGGTAATAGGGAGGAGTTGGGCAACTATAGGCCAGTAAGCCTTACTTCAGTAGTGGGGAAAGTGATGGAAACCATGTTAAAGGATAGGATTGCTGAACATCTAAAAACACATGGATTTCAAGATAAGAGACAACATGGGTTTACTTAAGGGAGATCATGCCAAACTAATCTTATTGATTTTTTTGATTGGGTAACTAAAATTATAGATCAGGGTTGTGCAGTAGACATTGCTTACCTAGATTTCAGTAAGGCTTTTGACACTGTTGCACATAGAAGGCTTATCAATAAACTGCAATCTTTAAGTTTGTATTCCAATATTGTTGAATGGGTAAGGCAGTGGCTGAGTGACAGGCAACAGAGGGTTGTAGTTAATGGAATATATTCGAAGCTTGGACTTGTCACCAGTGGGGTACCTCAGGGATCTGTACTTGGACCCATTCTCTTTAATATTTTTATTAGTGATATTGCAGAAGGTCTTGATGGTAAGGTATGTCTTTTTGCTGATGATACTAAGATATGTAACAGGGTTGATGTTCCAGGAGGGATAAGCCAAAGGGCAAATGATTTAGGTAAACTAGAAAAATGGTCAGAGTTGTGGCAACTGACATTTAATGTGGATAAGTGCAAGATAATGCATCTTGGACGTAAAAACCTAAGGGCAGAGTACAGAATATTTGATAGAGTCCTAACCTCAACATCTGAGAAAAGGGATTTAGGGGTGATTATTTCTGATGACTTAAAGGTAGACAGACAATGTAATAGAGCAGCAGGAAATGCTAGCAGAATGCTTGGTTGTATTGGGAGAGGTATTAGCAGTAGAAAGAGGGAAGTGCTCATGTCATTGTACAGAACACTGGTGAGACCTCTCTTGGAGTATTGTACGCAGTACTGGAGACCGTATCTTCAGAAGGATATTGATACCTTACAGAGAGTTCAGAGAAGGGCTACTAAACTGGTTCATGGATCGCAGGATAAAACTTACCAGGAAAGGTTAAAGGATCTTAACATGTATAGCTTGGAGGAAAGACGAGACAGGGGGGATAGGATAGAAACATTTAAATACATAAAGGGAATCAACACAGTAAAGGAGGAGACTATATTTGAAAGAAGAAAAACTACCACAACAAAAGGACATTAGAGGGACAAAGGTTTAAAAATAATGTCAGGAAGTATTACTTTACTGAGAGGGTAGTGGATGCATGGAATAGCCTTCCAGCTGAAGTGGTAGAGGTTAAGCATGTGTGGGATAGGCATAAGGCTATCCTAACTATAAGATAAGGCCAGGGACTAATGAAAGCATTTAGAAAATTGGGCAGACTAGATGGGCCAAATGCTTCTTATCTGCCGTCACATTCTATGTTTCTATGTATGAGCCTATATCGAAATTCTATTATATTTAATTAATTATTTAGGCCCATACAGATGTTAAATTGTAATAACAGAAATCTATTGGGTTGCAATTAATCGTATAGTCTATATAATATACTGACATAGAGATTTAAGGTTCGTGGTGGTATTAACTAATGACTGATCAATTTTAATAATGGAACCAAGTAAATTGTCCCTACCATAGCACAGTTGTTATGGTTCAATTGTTGTAGTCTCATATTTCCTTAGGGTAAATATTTAAGGTTCTGCTGCAATTGGGATTGTGAGGCTTTAAAGGTGAATGATTCTGCTGTTATTTGTACAATGGGGATACATATTTACAGTTTAAGTGATAGAAGTGTTTTAGTTTGTTAGGTGATATTTACTTATTGCATTAAAATATACAATATATATATACATATGTACAAGTGTCTTGACTTTATATGGCTTAAGGTTTCAGTCAGAAATATATGAGGTATATGAAAAACCTTCATTAAAGGGACACTATAGTCACCTGAACAACTTCAGCTTAATGAGGTTGTTCAGATGAGAACTATAGCTCCCTGCAGCCTTTCTGAGAAAATACAGTGTTTACATTGAAAGCTAGGAACACCTCCAGTTGCAGTCACTCAGCGTGAACCAGAGGGACTTCGGAGTTGATGGAGGCATAATATGCCTCCATCCACTCAGATCTGCTGTCAACAGAGCACAGGGCAGCACTGTGCACATCATCCTGTGATTCAGTATCTCCTCCCTCTGCATGCAGACACACTGAACTTTCCTCATAGAGATTCATTGATTCAATTCATCTCTATGAGGAGATGCTGATTGGCCAGGGCTGTGTTTGAATCATGCTGGCTCTGCCTCTTTGTCGGTCTCAGCCAATCCTATGGGGAAGCACTGTGATTGGATCAGGCTACCACTTCTGATGATGCCAGCAGACTGATTGTTTTTCTGAGGCAAACAGCATGCAGATTTACAGCTTCAGGCTTGAATACAGTAAGATTTTTACTATATTTATGGAGGCATGACAGGCCCGGGGGGCTAGATGATGGTGTTAACACTTTAGGGTCAGGAATACATGTTTGTGTTCCTGACCCTATAGTGATCCTTTAAGTCCCAATGGGGATAATGTTTTTAATTTAAATATCCAATAGCTCTCTCTCTCTCTGGAGTAGCCTTTTATCAATGTCTCCTTTTCTGGGACCAAGAGTGACTTTTTCAATCCCACTAAAACGTAAACCTTGGAATGATCCCCCATGATGCAATTTTAAATGTTTCGATATGGGGGTATCTATATTTCTGGATGGGTTGATCGAATTGACGTGTTCTAAAATACTTTTCTTAAATTCTCTGCTGGTCTTACCAACATATTTTAAATTACAACTGCAGGTCAATAGATAGACTATGCCTGAAGTATGGCAATTCAAAAAGGATTTTGTGCTAAATGTTTCAGTTTCGTTGTAGTTGGAAAAGGTCTTAGAGAGACTACGTATAAACTTGGATGCCTTGCAACACCCACATTGATAGTGCCCGATGAGGGTGGATTCAGCCAGTTAAATTTTTTAACAACAGTTGCAGACAACTGACTTGGAACAAGAATATCTTTTAGATTGCGTCCACGCCTTGCTGTCACGGTAGCATATGGAGTGATTGCTTCTTTGAGATGTTGATCTTGATGGAGCAGCGGCCAGTATCAGTTGAATATATGTTTGACTGTATCCCAGCCTGTGTCAAACGTCCCAATGCACCTAATTGGATTCTGCTTAGATGTATATTTGGGTTCCTCTTTTAGGATGTCAATAAGGGGGGGACCTAAGGTCCTCCCCCCAGCCCCCACCCCTAAGCGGTGGGTGGTGGCCATAAATAAAAATCCCCCCCAGGTGACCCCAAACTCCTAGTCACCCCCTCCCCCCCAAAAAAATTACACCTACCTAGCCCTCCAAGGGTGAAGAAGGATAAATTTTTTTTGTGCTTTTTTCTTTCTTTTTTTTTTTTTTTAAAGTGCGTCGGTGTTTCTGGATTTTTATTTGACTTTTTTTGGGGCTGAAAAAAGATGATATCTAATGGTAAGTCTATTTTTTTTTTTTTTTTTTACAGGTACTTAGACAAGGATCCGCCCTCATTATTTTTAGGATATTTTTTTTTGCCTGGAGGGGGTGACTAGGGGATTGGGGACCCCTAGTCACCTGGGGGGGATTTTTATTTATGGACCCCACCCACTGCTCAGGGGTGGGGAGGACATTAGGTGTTGTCCCCCCCTTATTGTTATTTAGGGCCCCCACCCGCCGCTCAGGGGTGGGGGCCGGGGGAGTAGACATTAGGTTCCCCCCCCCCCATTTTTTATTTATGGCCCCCACCCACCGCTCAGGGGTGGGGGCGTGAGGGAGGACAGTAGGTTCCCCCCCTTATTGTTATTTAGGGCCCCCAAATGCCGCGCAGGGGTGGGGGCCGGGGGGAGGACATTAGGTCCCCCCCTTGTTATTTAGGGCCCCCAACCACCGCGCAGGGGTCGGGCCGGGGGAGGACATTAGGTGTTGCCATCCCCCATTTTTATTTATGGCCCCCATCCACCGCTCAGGGGTGGGAAGGACATTAAGTCCTCCCCCGCCCCCAATTTTTATTTATGGCCCCCACCCACCACGCAGGGGTGGGGGATGGGGGGAGGACAGTAGGTCCCCCCCTCCACATTCTTATTTAGGGCCCCCACCCGTCGCACAGGGGTGGGGGCAATAGTTTTTTTGTTTGTTTTTTACAGTGAGCAGCCACTGCTCACTGTTTACTAGACACACTCCTACTCGCGGTATAGCGAGTAGGGGCTGAATTTACTAATACTTAGTAATCTTTACTTAGTATTAGTAAATGTGGCTGAAAGACCAATTTAGGTCTTTCAGCCTTTTGGTAGATAGAGCCCTAATACCATAGGAATTAGGGAGTTATATACTAAGCGGCTGCTTATTTTGTTATTTTTAAGTGATTTCCCGATCCACATTTGTTTGCAGGGCACTTGTCTTACTCTTACCCCCATTTTACTTCCTTTTGCAGCCCTCTAGCCCTTTCCAAGAGTTTTTTTTTGTGGCCAAAAGTTCGGGTCCCCATTGACTTCAAAGGGGTTCGGGGTCAAGTTCGAGTCCGAACCCGGCGGACCCGAACATCCAGTTGTCCGCTCAACTCTAGTTATAACATTTACCTACTTATAAGGCACTATCATAGTTTCTTTTGTATGATATACCTTTTTTAGTGTTAATCAGTTGGTTATTTAATCAGTTATATTCATTTACAAGTCTAAAAGTGAACATACACTACAGAAACCTAAGAATCTCCCCTTATCTTGCTGATAGAAGCATATATTAACTCTCTGTATACCTCCTAAATTTGGCCATGTTTGATTAAAGCCTATATTAGAGGGGACAGCATTGAGTTAATTTTCAGTCAGAGCAAAGCATTACAGCTTTTGTATCTACTCGGATTATACTTTTTTGTTTTGGCTTTGAGATAGGTGTTTATGTCTATTGCTCCTTTCAACATCCAGTTTATATCAACATTCAAAACCCTTTGTTTTTAATGGGAATATTTGGTACCTCCTTTTATATGGCTTCCTAAAAAAGAAATTGAAGTCAGAAGCTGTGATTTTTTCCAGTGCACCCAGTCGTCGAGATAGGGTACAGTGTGAATCCCTAATCATCTTAGACTGGCTGTAAGAGTTACAAATCGCTTCATTTGTTGCAGAGTGCAGCCCAAAGTGAAGGGGTCTGATTTGGAAATTATGGAATTTTCTTCTCTTCTTTATGGCCAATCTACAGAGGCTACTTTTCTAAGTTGTGTGGCTTATGATATTGATTTCATTCAGAATGTCTTCTTACAAACTTTTTAGCATATACTAGGTCTTGGATGGGGCATGACAACCCATACCATAAACAGCCTTGAATAAATAACTTGAAACTTTTCTTGGTGGGGAATTTTTTCTACCACAGCTTCTCATTTAAGGTAAGGTATACCAAAACTATGACTAATGATTTTTGTTACTGTATCCTAATTATTTGTAAAACTCTTAACTCTGATATAGTTAAAAAAAATCTTTGGAGGACAAGTTCTAATGATAATTTCATTGTGAAATATATCCAAGGGACATTGTTTTCCAGCATATTCTCAATGTTTGTAATACCTGCCAAATGCTAATTTTCTGAATTAATATCTTGTAAATTATATTGCAGTATGTTGACCTTAGTAAATCTTAACATCTTATTGTTAAATCCTTCTATTTTTTTATTTTAATCCAAGATGAGATATTATCAATGACAAAACATTTCCCTTTGTATGATCAACCAAGGTTTTGTGAAAGATGATTCAATGTGAAGCATAAGGATGAGATATGTTTAACCCCTTAAGAGAGGCGGAGGTTCTGTTCAATCATAAATTTACCTCTTTCAGATTAAGTGCACTTACACTTATTATATAAAATTTTGTTCAGGAGAAATGGGGCTTTCATTTCACATCAAATATTTTATATGGAACAATTTAATATGAATAAAAAAAGTGAGAAATTAAGAAATTTTATTTTAACTGTGAAAGTCATAATACTGTTAAATTTTACTGCAATGAAGCACATATCTGTATGCTCTGATGCCGCCCATGTACATGTTTATGGTGTTTTGGAAAGGGACAGTATTAAATGTACACATTGAGATTTGCCAGATTGGTTATGTTGCCTTTGAGACCTTAAGGAATGAAAATTATCCCCATCATGGCATAGCATTTGCAAAATTAGACAACCAATTTTATTCACAATGGGGTATGTTGTCTTTTTATTTAAATATTTTTACAGTAGCTACATTGTAAAATCTAGCTTGCTTTATGTAAAAAGGTTACATAAATATACCTAAACATACATGTAGAACTTAAATATATATATAATATTTCATTCTAAGTGCATTTTGATATCAAAATACACTAAGAATTTTAAATATCTATATATCTATCTCACCGTAAAAAAAAAAATCTCATCTTCAATTGCAATTTGCCAAATCTTCAAAATAAATTTAAAAGTAAACAGTGCATCTCATTACAAAAAAAACAAAACAAAATACAAAAGGTGATTTTCAATATATTATTCAATGGTAAGTTCCAAAGAAGTGACAGTTCCTCTTGACAAATTTAAAATAGTTATACGAAATGGAGTGAATTCCTGCCTTGTGTTCCTTTACTAATAAATCACTAAAAAAAAGTCATTCACATGTTATAATGTTGGTTACTTTATTAGAAAGTCCATTAGTACACTCTATGTGTGAATGAATAAAAACACCAAGTTCCGCTTTTACCTCAATTTAGTAACAGTTCTCTACCACAAAAAGTAAATACATTTTTTTTCTTGTTTCCAAGACGGTAGGCTATCCAGAATTGAGAGTGAGCAGTCTGAGGTTCTGTTGAGTTCATTTCTCTGTAACGTCCTTTTTAAACATTCTGTTCATATTTAAAAAAAATAAAATTAGTTATAAATATACTTTGAACATTTTCAAGCATAAGTATATATACACATGTAACAAATCAACAGATGTAGGCTTGTCTGTGGTCCTTGTACAGCAGTGGTTCCCAAAATAGTGACCCAGCAACAGTCAAGGTTTTGTCAGTATCTCAATTAATATAGAAAAGGAGAATTCTTGATGGCCCATAATGAACCAGTTTTACGATAAACTTAATAAACTTGTGTACCAACGTAAAAATTATATGTCCAAATCATTCCTTTCAATTCAAGTTGCCCAATATTCATTAAGTTTTGTCAGCAAGGATAGGGGCAGGTTAGAGTGGGAGTCTAAGAAGTCTAAATGGCATTATTGTTATGTCAAAATTATAGGAATTAAAATACATTCATTTGAAGGTAGCTAGGTATAACTTAACTTTCTCCCCTACTCTAAACACCCTATGACCCTATGTCCCCCAAACCCCAACCAGGGGAAAAAAAAACATGGATGTTATTTAATTGAACTGTATTTACTATTTAAAGCAAAATTCCAACAGTTGCACTTACTCATATTTTATGAGACGTGATCCCTGGATGAGCTGTGCGCCTTCATTGGTTAAGTGACATGCAAATAGGAGCCAATTTCTAGGCTGAACTTTATAGGCAAATCTCATAAACATCAATGAGTAACATGTAAGGGCTGAAAGAAAAACAAGTAATATTACAGACAAGACTGTTATTACAAAGAAACAGTTAGGCTATATGTCATTTGGAGTGCTTTGAGTGTTAGAGCAGGATTAACTAGCAATTCTCACTTTTATAAATTAAAGGGACACTACAGGGACCCAGACCACTTCAAGCTCTTTGAAGTGGCTTGGTTGCACTGTCCATGTCAGTTTAACCCTGTAATAGTAATTATTACAGTTATTGACAAACTGCAATAATTACATTGCAGAGTTAATTCCACCTTTAGTGGCTGTCTACCAGCAAGCCACTAGAGGTGCTTCCGGGTCACTAGGCGATTTTTGGTCGCCTGACACTAAACACCCTCACACTATGCATGAGGACATCTAGTGTAAGCTAAAATCCAATGGGAAAGTATTTATTCAATGCTTTCCTAGGGGATTGTCCTTTGTGATAGTGTTGCTCAGTGCGCATGCGGACCCTGACGTCGGAGGAGCGAAGGCAAAGCCTAACTCAGCATCGAGGGACAATGGCGTGGATTTGGGTAAGTGACAAAATGTTTTTGTTTTTTTTTAACCATTTCATCACTACAGGGAGGGGGCCGCAAGCCTATAGTTTTCCTATAACCTTGTTACACCCCCCTGCCTGTCAGACAACACAGTCAGTCCGGTTACATCCTGGTTGTTGATCTCAGTGGAGCTAAACTCAAGAGGCAGGCAATTGCAAACTGTCAAAATTAAATAAAGTTTAAGTAGGGTTCCCAGAGGTGGCAGTGGAATTTTCATCTACATCTTTGATTTACCTAACACAGACTGAAGTTGCATCATGAAACTCTTCCCATCCTTCTCAGTGCTGGGATGAAGCCAACATACTTTAATTTGCACCACGATCAGGCTCACATTTCACACTGCAGAAGGCTCCAATACATTTTCCTTCTATCAAAATAGTCTATTAACCCGCCGGAATATAATGTTGACCCTCCTCTACTGGTGATGGGATGGATCTCTTTTCACCAAGTTAGACCCAAGAGGCGTTCTATTTTTTGTTTTCTCAGCCTATGCCACTGTTTCCATACCCCCCCACCCCAATACATACAGGCCTTATGGCATTTTGAACTGTTGCCATTTTGGACTTTACTGTATCCTGGATAATAGTCTCATACTCTTATGACTGTATTAATATTTTATGATCAGCAATGATAACCCATGTATTATACATTCACATAAGACAAGAGCTCTGTCAGCACATTTATTTCCCCTCATCCCTTTATGAGAAGTTTTACAGTTAATGTGCTAGAGGGTAGAACTCCCATTAACCACATAAAGAACAACAAAAAATAAAATAAAAAAAACATGCAAGGAATCCAATGCATTCAACATGATATACATGGTGTTATTGCTTGGCCACTCTGATTGCAGCATGATGGAGTTATGAAGTACACATAACACAGGAACATCTTATTGCGGAAATGTTTGGTAGTGGATGGAAACTACCTTCATGCCAAGCTTGGAACCATCTTTATGCAGGGGCAGGCAGAGTACCAGCACTGCACCCCGCCCAGTCAGTCAGGGTTCCAACATCGAGTTGTTTCACGTGTTATCCTGTTGTTGCAATGAAAGACGTGTTTCACATAAACAATGAGATATGTGCAGAGTGAGGATAACGGGGTCTCATGGTATGAGAGAGTGGTGTGCACCAAAGAAATTAACTTTTGTTGAATATGTATGGTTCCTACCAATAAAACTATGCCCCCTCCCCCACAAAAAAAAAAGAGAAGAGTAGGATCCTACCAAATGTCATACGGCCACTTATAATCTCTGGAGATTTCTTCATATCATTGATAGCAGCAATAGGCAGTCCCCAATTTGCCACAGGCCCCCAAAAGTGCTGTATATATATAAAAAAAAAAAAAATTAAAAAAAAAAAAAGTGTTAGAAATGAAAAGGGCAATACTATATAATAACTAAATAAAAATCCACATCATAACACCTAACTTCAGCCCAATCCTCCTACTGTGAAATTATGTGCCCCCGCTTCTACTGTAAAGCACCTGTTTTAGAATAATTTGTCTTCTTACCCGTCAGTTCCTTTAACATAAACTACATGTGCATGTATAACAGAAATTCTCCAATCTTATACTTTTTTTTGTGTGAGAATCATTCAATCTAATGTGTCATAGAAAAGTACTGGATGCATACTCCGTGTCAAAATAGACAGACATCAAATTAATTCAGTCAATGGCACTTCAATGTCTACACATTTTTAAGGTGGGATTTTATTGTGTTTTATAAACCTGTGTATTTTTATGTATAACAATATCTTACTGGTCTATTCAGCGGATGACTGAGATCCTACATTATTATGTAGTGAGTGGTCTAGAATTCCCAAATCTAAATCACCATTCTGTCTAACCAAACTCTATGCACAGTATAGGTTCCTTCTGGGTAGCTCATCCCAAAAAGCATCACTTTGCATTAATCCGTTATTTATTTTCCACATTGAATTTCATCTGCTGCTTGTATGCCCAGTCACCAAATGTATTAAAATCCCTTTGTAGACTAGTAACATCCTATTCATACATTACCTTACCAAATTTTGCGTCAAGTGTAAATACACAAAGTTAAGAGAAGACGATCCAGTACAGAATCCGAAGAACTTTTTTTTTTTTTTTTTTTTTAATTCTTTATTTTTTCTCAGACATAGCAAGTTTACATCGACTTTTGGGCTTACGCATAAGCCAACTTAACAATAATTTGGAAACATAATGCAGATTGACAAATACAATGTATGCCCTTTCCTTAAAAAAAACCATTGGCACTTGCCGTCTACTGAGGGTTTTATATTTTTATATTCGATTACGAACTTTATATTCAAATAAACATATCCTATGCACATTCCCTTTTTGGGCTGATAAAGAAGTTGATTAAGTTACAATTCATTTGTTATTATTGAAAAAACTCTAAGCTTGCTGTATCATTGACACCTGCCGGTTATGGAGATCTCTTAAATTCTGTATTTTCCGTAACCATATCAGGTATTTAATCACTGCTGGGCTTATGGATAAGCCAAATAACTTCTGTTCCATATAAGTGCAATAAAATATTGTTCAATTTTATCATTGCGAGCCCATTTCTTATTGTAAGTTTGGCACTTACCAACTATGAAGAGGATTTATGTATAACAAAAAATAGGTAGATAAACATTTCAAGTAACTATTAGATGTGCTAATCATTATCGTATCTTTGCTACATTATTCCTCCTACCGTATGACCTAGCCTGGAAAAAATAAAAATAAAATAACAGAGAAAAAGGAAATGAAAGAGAAGATTGAACAAAGATACATAGTAAGAAGAGTTCAGTGAAGTAGAGGGAAATTTAAAAGGGGGGAGAGGTGGGGCAAAACAGCTACCGCTTACCACTTTTATCCAACTTAAATATTTTCTGTTAACTACTCTCTGCAGTCTATCTAAACACTTTTCCATCCAAACAGATTTTTAAAATTTGTTCTATAATCATTTGCATACAACCATAATAAATGCATTGGCAAACGCAAAGTAAACCACATCTGATGCAACACCGTTTTATACTTCTAGTAACTTCTTCACTGAATGCATTTAAAGGAAATTTGTCATTTTGTATTATTTAAAATAAGAGAATGCATACATTAATAGTCTCTGGTTGTATGGGTTTTTGGTAGGGAGAACTGGGTTGGGAACCACTGCCTTAGACTATATCTCCTTTCTTCCAATATAAATGGTTGACCTTGAGTCCTAGATAAAGTCCGGTTTATGATTAGATTTCCAGACAATGGTTTGTATTTGACCCAAATATATTTGTATAATGCTATCATATCCCCTCTGACGTGCAGTTTTTATATTGCAAACAGATTTAAATGGAAACTATAGGCACCAAAAGAATTTTAACTTAATAAAGTACTTTTGGTGTATAAATCATGTCCCTGTAGTCTAACTGTTTAATTATCTTCCATGTAGGAGTTAATTTACTTTGTTTATACAGCAATAGCCATCCCTCCTTGCATGTGACTTGCACAACCTTACTGAACAGTTCTTGTAGAGCAAGCATGTCAAACTCATGGCCAACAGGCCACATGCGGCCCACAATAAATATCTTTTCAGCCCAGTGAGCCTTGAGTTTGACATCCTTATTGCTAAGGCAGTGTAGGCACCTGCTCTCCCCACACTGGGAGAGGATGCAGTGAGGGAACTCAGTCTGAATATGACATAATAAACTGCGCTCGTGGGATATGTCAAGTCTTTCTTTTTTTGCACTATGTTTAATTTAGAACGTAATCTATTTCTCTGTTAATAGCCTAGACTCTGTAGGAGACTCCTGCTTGTGATTAAAGTTCAATTTACAGAGTAGGAGATGATAAAAATTTCTAAATCAAGTTAAAATATATTTGAAAATTAAACCATTTTTCCATGCAGAATGTGTGAGTCACATGCTATGAAGATGTGGCTATGACTACATAAACAAAAGTGATTTAACTCCTAAATGGCAGAGAATTGAACAGATACTGTAGGGGCATGATATATACACCATAACTGCTTCATTAAGCTTAAGGTTGTTCGGATGCCTATAGTATCCCTTTAATATTTGTTAACCATTCTTCAGAACTAAAATAAGTAATTCATTTTATTAATTATATTAATTATATTTTCATCCTGAGAATGAATGCCCCTTTTTATGCATGCAACGGAGTACTGACACTGTTAAGTTTATGGTCTAAAACAATTGCCAAATCCTTATGTGACATCTCTAATTAACCACCATTTAGAGCAGGGATTGACCGATATTGATTTTTTTTTTTAGAGCCGATACCGATAATCTGTGAATTTTCAGGCCGATCATCGATAACTTGCCGATATTCTGTGCATTTACCATTTTGAAAAAATAAACAATTTCTAAAGGTAAATGCACAAAATATACATGCCACATGCAGTGGATGCAGCGTGTTTAGACAGGGGAGCTGTGTGTATTTGTGTAGTGTGTCTAGTTAATGCAGTGACTGTGTAGTGTGTCTAGTTAATGCAGTGACTGTGTAGTGTGTATTTAATGAATGCAGAGTGTGTGTGTGTGTGTGTGTAGTGTGTGTATAGCGAACACAGTGTGTAATGTGTGTATAGCGAACGCAGTGTGTATAATGTGTGTATAGTGAACGCAGTGTGTGTAGTGTGTGTATAGTTAATGAAGTGTGTTTGTATAGTGTGTGTATATAATGAATGCAGATTGTGTGTGTTTTTATAGTGTGTGTATATAATTAATACAGTGTGTAGTGTGTGCATTATATACACACACACACACACACACTACACACTCTGCATTATATACAGAGTGTGTTGTGTGTGTTCCTGAAGGGATGTGATTTGTGTAAAATGGGGAGAAAGGCATTTTTTTATTTTAATATATATATTTTTAATTCTTTATTTTTGTTGTGCATGTGGTTACATGTAGACTTGCGAATACCACAACAGATTTAGCAAGCGATTCATATTACAGGTTAGATATAGCTTTGACATGGTATATGAAGGAACTGCACAATTTTTAAAAGTAAGATCAGGCTGAACAATAAACAGAATGGTCAATATATCAGTATGGAGTCATGTAGCAGCGGTCTGGTTATTCTGACTGACGATATTATAAGACATATTTAATGGCAGGCTAGACATATTTAACTGAACTCAAACTGTGAACCAAAGGGTTTTCAGGCAGGCTATTGGGTGTGGGTGAGTGGAAAATATGGCTGGACTAGTGGGTAGATCATCTGTGCAAATTGCTAAGTATCAGCCTAAGTGTAAGCCATACAGTATTTTTATGCATCGTATTATTTAGCAAGTTTAGCGGACACACATTTAGTAATAGCACTCTAGAGTGGTTGTGGACTCTGGGTCTATTCTCCAGATTTTGGGCTGCAGTGGTAATAGGGGTGACTAAGGAGAAAAGGAAAGTAAAAGAAAGGATAAATTAATGGAACAGGAATGTGGGTTGGCGCAAGCAATGGTAAAAACAGCACAGTAGGATACAATGCCCGCAAGATATTCAGATAATTTTTAATATTTATATATGTTTTATTTAAAAAAAAAATGTCCCCCCTCCCTGCTTGTTACCTGGCCATGGAGGCGGGCTATGACAATCCCTGGTGGTCAGGTGGCATGGTGGTAACCAGAGGTCAAATAGACGTGGTCCCAGAACAGAACCCCTGAGGAATACCATCAATGACAACTCTCTGTACTCTTATCATTAAGCCAATATTCTATGAAAGAACAAGCATTTTCATCTAGTCTAATTTCTGTTGGTTTGAACAGTAAGCTGTTGTGTGGAACTGTATCAAACACTTTGGTAAAATACAAGTAGATTACCTTCACTGCAACAACCTGATCTATATTTGTACTTCCAACTTTACAGAATAAATTTAAGTTAGTTTGACATGACCTATACTTCATGAAAAAAAAAAAAAAAGAAAGTGCCATCTTACTTGGCTTCCAAAAGAGCCAAGTAAAACTTGGCTATTTCTATCAAATAGGAAATCACTGGATTGACAGTGATGACTCTTGATGATCTCAGTCACGGAGGTGAAACAGCAGTGAGGGACCAGTGCAACGAGGGAGAAAAGGCAAGTAAAACTGCTTGGGGGCACCTAAACTGGCTTACATGGCACTATAGCATTAGGGAGACATGTTTCTATTCCTAACACGATTGTGTTCCTTGAAGTAGCATTGTAAAGAAATAAAAATTAATGCAAACAGTAAAACATTTCCCTACTTACCGTACTGTGTGATTGTAGTTAATAGTAATTCCAGAGATGCAACAGGAGAGGAAAAAAAAAACACAAACAAAAAAAAATGATTAGATGAAAGAAAATAAGTAAGGAAATCAGATACAAAATTATGTTGTAATATTGCAATAGGTCATCTCCAAACAACAACATTTTGACTACACGTGCAGCCTCTTGTTGTGAATTCAAAGTGACTTTCACATGCAAGGTCAAAGTAGCCAAACTGGAAACGTAGCAGACTTAGAAAATGTTGCTGTTTTCGAAATGTTAAATTCACTTTGAAACAACATCACTTTTCATTTTAGTGAATGACCCGGTTAGGTTTCTGCATATCCTGCTTTATTAAGAGTGAGCAGTAAATTGTCTGTTTAGCATTCCCAATTGATTTCAGTGGTATTAACAGCGGATGTGCTGCATGTTTTGGACCACCTCTCAAATGGCACACCAGGATGTTCACAGGTAATATTTGTGTTTTTCATGGAAACTCCAAGTTGGAAATTAATCTACATCATGAATCATGCTCACGCAATCATGCTAAAGCATATGCAAAAAAAAATCTTCCCATTGAAGATCATGTGTATTGTGCTTTCCTCTACCTAGTCTAGGAATAGTTTGGCATCAATCCCAGTCTTTCAATGGTTTTCAAAGACAGTATGCAGCATATCCTGTAAAACCCCAATGATTGAAGTCACTGAAGTCCTTCTCTGACAGGGTCTGTGACAGTCTTCTGTGAAAGTAAATGAAGCTTTCACAGAAGACTGTCAAGGACCCTGTCAAAGAAGTGTACTTGTATACACTAGGAACACACCTTAAAAGTAATTGGCTTGGCCAATAAATGCATAACATCCTCACGTGAGATTTGTAGATATTGTTATCTGATCTCCCACTAAAGCACAGGGAAATGAGTTTATAATTCAAGGTATATTCAGGAAATTATTTTAAGATCTGAGATACAGCACTCTTAGCGTTATAATATTATTGCAATTTAAAGTTTGTTTTACATTTATAATTTTGGGTTAGAATAAGTTTGGGGTAGGCGAAACCAATCCCTAACCAAAATCTTAAACCATGGTTACCTTGCAGTACCTAGCTGAACAACCCCAGTCAGCCACAAAGAGTATGTGTTCCTAAGAGAGGAGGTAACCAATCTTTATGGGTAACCAACTTGTCCATGACAAGCTCAATGTTGAAGTGTTTTTTCACTATAATCTGAGAAAGGAGCATAGCCTGTTTCAATTAGTTTCACTCAAAGCAATTGACATTTCTATTACAATGACATTTTGGTTTTCCCTGTTTAAAAATCCTGAAGAACAAAAGTTTTGTTCCTCTGAAAAGTATGTGTGTTGTATATAAAGCGTAATTTTGGGTGAAAGTTTTATCAGTGGATCAGTCACCATGGAAACCAATGGAATGTTCCAGTTTTACAACTTTGCCCCAGAATTACACGGAAACCTGATTATGTTTTCCCATTTTAACTACCTCCATGGCAACTGTCAAGCAGATTTGTTTGTTTTTTGTAGTGAAAAACATAAATCGAAACACAATTGGGTGAAGTCACAAACAATAAGCTTCTGGGTCACCTTGAGTTCTCCGAACGTTTACAAGTCTTCACTGCTGGTATGTTTATGAAAAGTGACTAACACACAAAATGCAATAATAAATGAATGCATGCCATTCTTTTTATAGCCCTGTGTCTATATAATCCTGCTGAAACCCATACACAAGCCTGAAAACGTACTATCCGCAGTCAGTATTGGCCGTATGAGGATTTTGTAGCTGGATTGGCCCGGTTTCCCAGGATGCAGTGTGCACACTCAGTGACCAGCAGCCTGGCCCGGAGCCCCTGGCAATGTGAATAGCCCCTTCACACTCACAAAAAGCAGCTTTGTGGCTGCAGCAGCCGGCCGGCTGGCTGAATTACCTCATGAGATAGTCTCGGAAGTCCTTGCTCTTGACATAGTCCACAGCTTTGCGGGCTAGCAGCGCTGCCATGCCGGCTATAAGGCGGAGGGTAAACCTAACGAGGCTCAAGGCTGGCTATAGCCTTCCAATGCGCGCTCCCGACAAAGCTGCGGGTAAACTGGAAACACAGATTGTCAAAGGACGGCCCCGCCCACAAACAGCCAGCCAATCCAACTTGCCGTAAAGGAGCGAAATGTCCGACGCTGCGGTGTCGTGAGCCCTGATGTGAATATCTTGTTGATTTCAGGGGACGATAAGCCGAATTAATAAAATACAGTTAAAATGGAGGGCCCAGGGAGCTGTGACATCCCTGTGTATTATATGCCTGTTTAAAACCTTTGGTTTAATTTTAAAGCCCGCACTGCCTTAAAAATGGCGTCAAGGTGACCTAGATCACATTGATAGAAATATTTCGGAGCCCACGGGCACGGAGTGAGTGTAGGAGGTGTGTAAGTGGGCTGTTTACAGGGACATGTCATGTGATTTCATGACCTATTGATACCCGTTACGTAACTCGAGGAATATTTTTTAGAACAAGAACAAAGTATCTTTTTTTACACAGGCTTATAAACAAAACTATTGATTGTAGTTTAAGCGGCTAAGGAAAAATTATCTTTACCTAACGCAATATTAAACAGATAAAAAAATTACTGAGAATAGATTCCCTAATCAGTCCTGATTATTAAAATGCATTATTTGTCTAGGATTTCAGTACATTTTTACAAGGTTTTAACACAAATATTGCAAGGTGTGAATTACAGTTTTTAAAATTTGTCATGTTAAGATTACAATTTTATAATAGTCACAAAATCCAAAACCGCTACATAAAAGTATATATTTGTATTAAGTACACCCCCTATGTAACCAAGAGCATTCCAACTCCTAAACCAACCCATATTGCTATCCATTATCCTACGTATGATGCAACCCCTAATCCGATTCAATAATTTAGTACAGAGCGCTCCAGCAAAGGTGATCAGTGTTGGCCACCTGGCAAAGCCCAGTACCAATTACTTAGTAAGGGGAAGCAGGGTCTCCCTGATACTGGGGTCATTAATTTAATTTGCATAAGGTGGAAATTGCACTAAACTGCAATAATTTTCAAAGGGCTATGTGGTGCACTCACTTAGAGAAATGCACATAACTCATCTGTCAGCCTGGAAGCACTTACTATGGCCCCAGTTGACAGAGGGGACCCTCAGGTATCAAAAGATTCCTGGTGTTCCCTGATTTGAACAAAAACATATAGCGTGGCCACATGGACCTTGGTAGAGGATCTTCTATATCTTCTATCCTGTCTGACAGAATGTACTCACTGGGAGCAAAAAAAATGTCTATCAGCCTGGATAGAGGATACAGATCTGCCCGGCCACACTACATGGTAGGAGGTCAGCAGACACAGGAGGGGAGAGGGGATAGAGATCACAAAGGGAGGGGTGGATTGGAGAGGGTCTGTGAGAGGCATACACAGAGAGGGGCTGCGAGGCATATACAGTGAGGGGCTAGGGGGAGAAGTGACTGCCCCGTCACTCCTCCCAGCTTACAGTGGGAGCCGCGCGGGAAGAAGAGAGAAGGGAGTCAGAGTGGGAACTCTTGACTCCCATCAGGCTGAGCCACCTCTGGACCCCAAGGAAGTCACCCTCCTGCATCTAAAAGGTAGGAAACAGGAAGGTGACTAAAATATTTTGTATGTGTGTGTTTTTTTTGTATGTATGTGTACGTGTGTGTGGCGCCCATGGATCAGTTTTCGCACCGAGGCCCCATGGATCATGTGTACGCCACTGCACAGAGAGGCTGGGGGAAGAAAGACATACAAAGGGGATTGGGAAGTGCTGAGAATGAGACACACAGAGTGGCTGAAGGGGAGAAAAAGACTCAGAGGGCCTGTGGGAGAGAGTGAGATACACAGAGGGGAGAAAGTGTGCATTTCTTCACTCCCAGGACATGGAGGTTCAGCCTGCCGCTCCTGTTGTCCAGGTCATCCACCCAGGTAGTTAAGTGGGCCACACTTGAATCGCAGCTGCTAATTGCTGAGCTGGCAGCATCCATGTCGGAGCGGAGGGCCCTGGATTGGGGTTAACCCAAAGTGCATAACTTTGCATTTTTCTACATTAAATTTCATTTTCCATTTGAGTATCCAGTCCCCTAAAATCGATCTAAATCCCTCTGCAGTGAAGTAATAGCCTGCTCACATTGTATTAATTTACAGAGTTTTGTGTTGCCTACTGTGACGAAAGCAACTTCGCCACTGGTTTTTGGAGAGGACTACTTGCCAGCCTTTTACCCTGTGACTATGGCCTCTTTAATTTATTTTGGCTGAGAAACCCTAATTGTGCCTACTGGAACTTTAAACATTTGGTTCTTCGAACGCCCGAATATTTGAAGTGGCTGCCGTTCGAACACTTGATGGCGGCCATTTTGTTTGCATGGGCTAAAACCGCGAATAGACTTCAGGGGGACTTAGCCGTGAATGCCCTGGAACTATTTTCGGCATGAAGACGTCGCGGTTCCCAGTCGGTCCTCCAGCGGCACTTAGCTGCGATTCTATAGAACAGTTTTGGGCATGAAATCCTGTGTTTGCCTGGTCAAGAATATGACTTTCATAAAATTTCTGAACTACTTATCTGGACGATTTTTGGATATGTTGTTCACCCAGATCAGGGTATGTTGTGTTTTGGGGTACTTATGGTACTTTATATAAATGCGTGTTTTTCTGCCTGTGGATAATTAAGTTAATGCATTAACTACCTTAACTATATCACAGGCAGAGGGGAGTGATTGTTTACTGAATGTAGGAGTGTCGCACTGTTAATTACTGTTTTGATTGGTTTACGTCCCTTGTGTCCCTGTCTTCCATCAAGTCCAGTGGGTGTGCCTCTGGCCTGAAAAACTGTATAAAAATCTAATCTGTGCCATTAATCTTTCTGTTCCCTCAACATGTAGTCTTGTCTCGTGATTGGAGGGGAACTGCTATAATCATACTGGGGATTGCTATACTCTGTATACTCCCCTGGGTTCTAATCACTTAGCTCTTTTAAGAGCTGTTCCTGTTACGCTCTTCTGGAGGAGTGGTCTCTCCCACACAATCCTGGATGTCAGAGGGTGATCCAGGGTGGAAGGAAGACGGCGAGATTCCAGTTAAGCTACGGCGCTTGTGGAGCTTATGGTCCTCGGTGTCAGATAGGAAGCATCCGTTAACGGAGATACCCAGTCAGGATGTCAGGTGATCCGTTACACCTACAAACACAAAAAATTGCTTTCAATGCCTATTGTAAGATAATTTATAAAAATGTTAAATAGAAGTGCTCCCAGAACAGAACCCTGAGTGACACCACTTACCACTTTTATCCATCTTGAAAATGTAACAATAACGACAACTCTAATTTGAAGCCAATTTTCTCCCCAAGAACGAACATTTTTACCTAGACCAGTGATGGCTAACCTTGACACCATAAATAGTTTCTGGACTACATTTCCCATGATACTCAGCTAGCTTTAAGCTCTAAAAGCTAGCTGAGCGTCATGGGAAATGTATTTCAGAAACAATTTATGGTGTCAAGGTTAGCCATCACTGACCTAGACTAATTTCTTTTAGTTTGAACACTAACCTTTTGTGGGGAACTGTATCAAACACCATGGCATAATCCAAGTAAATCACATCCAATGCAACACCGTGATCTATAAGTTTACTTCTTTATAGAATGCTATTAAGACATGACCTATGTTCTGTCAAACCATGCTGATTTTTGCTAATAATGTTCTTCCCTATGAACCCCTGAATATTATCCCTTAATAACCCTCCTAATACTTTCCTAGCCACAGAAGTTAAGCTCACAGGGCTATAATTTCCAGGCAGAAATTTTGAACCGTTTTTGAATATAGAAATCACATCTGCCTTACTCCAATCCTCCGGTATAATTCCTTATAGAAAAGCTGGAAATATTAAAAACAGAGGTACACTTAGTTTCCACACTTAGCTCCTTAAATACTCGTGAATATCGTCAGGCCTCTGAGTTTTGTGCATATTAACTTTCTTTACTTGCTGCAGCACCTTATCTTGAATCATCGAATTATAATTGTTCTGCATGTTCTTTTTGCATATCTCTTGCCATAGACTACTACTTAATATATATGAAGGAAAAATAGTTCTTTATGATTTCTTCCTTTTACTGGTCTTCATTTACTAACAAAGACACATCCAGGGCCGGACTGGCCCACCGGGATACCGGGAAATTTCCCGGTGGGCCGTCGGCACCTGGGGCCGGCCCTTTAAATACTGCAGCCGCCTGAGCGCTCTGTGAAGAGCGGTCAGGCGGCTGCAGCTTCTCCCCTGTAGCGTGGCCGGCCGGACTGATAGGAAGGTGCACACGCAGTGTGCACCTTCCTATCACTCCGGCCGGCCACCGCGGACCGGAGTGCAGCTCGGCCACGCTACAGGGGAGGGGGTAAGAAGAGGGGAGGGGAGGAGAGAAGCTGCAACCGCCTGAGGCTCTTCACAGAGCGCTCAGGCGGCTGCAGTATTTAAAGGGCCGGCCCCAGGTGCCGACGGCCCACCGGGAAATTTCCCGGTATCCTGGTGGGCCAGTCCGGCCCTGGGAGGTCCCCTGTCTCCCCGTACACAGTGTAGTATAACTGCAGCTATAAGGTTATGGTGTAAGGAGGTCCCCAGTCTCCCCGCACACAGTGTATTATAACTGCAGCTATAAGGTTATGGTGTAAGGAGGTCCCCTGTCTCCCCGCACACAGTGTATTATAACTGCAGCTATAAGGTTATGGTGTAAGGAGGTCCCCTGTCTCCCCGCACACAGTGTATTATAACTGCAGCTATAAGGTTATGGTGTAAGGAGGTCCCCGGTCTCCCTGCACACAGTGTATTATAATTGCAGCTATAAGGTTATGGTGTAAGGAGGTCCCCTGTCTCCCCGCACACAGTGTATTATAAATGCAGCTATAAGGTTATGGTGTAAGGAGGTCCCCTGCCTAACCACACACAGTGTATAATAACTGCAGCTATTAGGTTATGGTGTAAGGAGGTCCCCTGTCTCCCTGTACACAGTGTGTTATAACTGCAGCTATAAGGTTATGCTGTAAGGAGGTCCCCTGTCTCCCCACACACAGTGTATTATAACTGCAGCTATAAGGTTATGGTGTAAGGAGGTCCCCTGTCTCCTTGCACACAGTGTATTATAACTGCAGCTATAAGGTTATGGTGTAAGGAGGTCCCCTGTCTCCCCGCACACAGTGTATTATAACTGCAGCTATAAGGTTATGGTGTAAGGAGGTCCCCTGTCTCCCCGCACACAGTGTATTATAACTGCAGCTATAAGGTTATGGTGTAAGGAGGTCCCCTGTCTCCCTGCACACAGTGTATTATAACTGCAGCTATAAGGTTATAGTGTAAGGAGGTCCCCTGTCTCCCCGCACACAGTGTATTATAACTGCAGCTATAAGGTTATGGTGTAAGGAGGTCCCCTGTCTCCCCGCACACAGTGTATTATAACTGCAGCTATAAGGTCATGGTGTAAGGAGGTCCCCTGTCTCCCTGCGCACAGTGTATAATAACTGCAGACGTATGTGTGGGTCATGAGTGATAAGAGGAGTACGTAGTGGTCTACCATCTATGGCATCAACGGCCAAGAGTGTGGCCTTTAGAAGGACAGGAACAGCAGAATCAGCAACAAAAGTAGAATGTATGAAATTATCTGCTGCTCCTGAATCTATCAAGGATTTAACAAGGATATCAAACAAAGAAGTGCACACGTAAACAATATAGTCCAAGCTCAGCACTTATGTGGAGGATCCCCTTAACCTTCACAAACACCAAAAATTGAAAGAAAATAAATATAAGTGGAGCTTTAAAGTACCTAAAGTATCTGAATAATATGGCAAATGTATTCAATGGTATTCCTTCACAGTAATCTGAAAATAATATACAATATACACATAGTGTAGATGGTATGAACTATGAAGAAATGTATATAAAGAATAAGTGGTAATTCACAACTCACAAGAGTAGAGACAACTGATCATCTGGCTCTAGTGTGTAGCGCTCTGTGATCTTTTAGGGGAGATCAACTACCCACTTTGATGTGTGTCCTTCTGGTTTCTTCCTCCTTTACATATATAGAGTAGACAGGAAGGTTCCAATGATGTAAGGATCCACAATTTATTAACTGCAAATGAATATAAACAATATCCAAAATAATAATAACATATAAAATAAAATAAAAGTTGGCTTATATAAGTCCACAAATATCTTGAAATAATGTCCAAAATGTCCAAAACGCGTTTTGCCAAAATCTTGGCTTCCTCAGCTGGTTTAAAGTTGCTCCGGCTTCTGTACTGAATTTATACCTCCATAATTGACAGATCGGATCCATCTGTGTACCCGGAAATGATTCGAGTGGAACGCACCTTCAATTGCACTTTCCGTCCAATGGAACGCACGTTCCGATCACGTGGTCTAACCTCCGCGAACCCGGAAGTATAGGTTTCCTTTGGTCACGTGATTCGGCTGCATCCCTCCCTATCTTGTGGAACGCATCCATGCGTTCCACCTCCATTTATAATAGGCATGTCAAGTCCTCAGAAAGTAAAAATATTCATTCCAAGTCCTTAAGGATTAAAAAAGATTTTCCTCAAAACAAAATTTGAGACAACAATAATGCAAAATGTTTGAAATATACATATATAAAAGACCTCCTTTCAAATTATAATTATGCTTATAAATATGTAATTTGAGAGACATTGTTCATTAATTAATTCCACTTCTTAGTGCAACATATTCATAAAAATAGATATATATGAATATATTAATATATAAAATATATACTAAATTGATACCGGAGAAACTGACGGAAGCAAAGCACAGAGGGATGGACACAGGTTTCTTCAGGAAGGAAGAGATTCTTTATTGGATCACCGATCGGGACTCAGAGGGACTAATGTCACCAAAAATACAGCAAGTTCTGAGCCCTGAACAATAGTGCAGGCTTCCTATATAGGCACATAACTCCTCCCATATTAAGCTCCACCCGCACATTCTCTTGACCAATCATTACAAATAAGAATTAACTTCCTGCTTGACCGCATGGCTTGTCCAGCACAATGGAGGAGGGGAATACTACATCCTGTATTCTTGCACATGCTCCGTACACTACTGATCGTATCTTGCCTCGTGCAACCAACTGATCGATACGTCAGCATATGCACGTACACATGCCACGTGGTAATCTCGGCCTACTAAATTTATTTTTACCGAGATTCCACCACATTCCCCCCTTTGATGCCTCTTGATATTTTACAATTACTTGAGGCATCACTTAACCTTGGTTTGCATACACCACAAGTTACCTTTGAACCAGACCAGACTTATCCTATGATGTGAATCTTCAACACTCATCTTCCTGCATTAGTTCTCCCTGATCTAGAGCCTTATATTTATAAATTGCCATTATCTGTGCAGCAGCCTTCCTCTCTGCTATATTTTCTATCAGGCTTTGCACAGACCTAACTACTAAGGGTATAAGACACGGCAGGAGTAGACACAACATTAAAATCAGTAGGACTCCACCTACCACTGCCTTAAGCCCTCCAAACCACTCATACCAGCTACCAAACCAACTACTTGGATTGTACCCTTTCCATACCTGAGTAGGCACATGCGCTAGTTTAACCATATGGCTAGTAAGCTCAGCTATTGCTTGCCCTTCGTCATCTATTTGAAGACAGCAATTGCTCAGGTTAAACTTCCCACATACACCTCCCTCTACTGCCAAAAGATAATCCAAGGCTAATCTATTTTGGTAAACTGCTGTCCTCATCCTGGTATTATGCTTCGCTAGAAGATTGAGCGCTTGTGATGTCTCGTTAGTAATGATCTCAACCACCGCCTGTAACCTTATAATGCGGTTGAGCATATAAATAGGGGTTCTATAACCAAAGGTACCATCCTCTGCCCACGTGGCTGGCCCATAATAATCTATAATACGCTGGGGAGGCCATTCATTATCTTCCCAGGCACCTATCTCTATGGGTCCCCTTTTCTTCCTATGATTCACATCATACACTTTAACACCTAAAGTCTCACCTGTTTCAATAGGCAACAAGAAGAAGGATGGTTTTAACATACCCAACACACATGCCCCTTCCCAGTCCTGTGGTAACTCCGAATAGGCCTTCTTACCACAGATCCAGTACAAATTCGCTGGGGCTCTCCAGTTAGATGTGATGGATAGATCAAACCATACGTCCTTTAAATTGGCATATCTTGCAAACGGGTTAGATGGTTCTGAGACATTTGAAGCCGACCACCAAGTTGTATTCTTTGTATCATCATCATAAGCTTTTTGCCCTAGACAAGTTAATTCTCCTACAGAAGTATTATACATCATTCCTTTCCTCGCTATGCAAACATAACCTATGATGGAGGTCTTCAATCTCCACTCAGATTTACCTCTAACACTCATATGATAGTCGGCTTGTATAGATATTAATTAGTCAACTGCCTTAGAACCGGACATTACCTCCTTTGCTTCCCAAGGCCATTGGTCTCCCATGTTAGTACCTCCACACACATAGCAGTTGGTAACATTAAGACTACCGGCAATACTCTCGGCTAAATCAATGAACAAGTTTTTAGCATTATGGGGATCTTATTATCTATGCTCATCTCTTCATAAAAGGAATGGTATACTTGATGAGTTTGGGAGGTTACCGTATCAGTCTCTATCCCTATAAACAATATTGTCCCAGGGTCTAAACCCGTCCCATATATTTGAAACCCAAATAAATTACCATATTTATCTAAGAACTTGTCAGGGTTACTTATAAGTATATGGATTGGATTGCATTCCATAGACTTACAATATGGATCAATAGGCAACTTAGTCACAATCATGTCCTTGTCTACTGTCTGTCCCCAAGTCGCCCACCCCACACAAGACCAATATGGGCAGAAGTTATAATCTCTATTTGGACATCTTGGACTTACATATTTATTTTTACTACTGGGACAAATATATTTATCGTTAGACCCATACGTCCTCTCCCATCTAAGATCCCCACATACATTCCACGTCTTTCTACCACTTGATATTGCTTTACACGCATCAAATAGCAGAGCACCTGAAGAATATACGGATTCTAATACCGTCTTATTAATTAGGGTTCCCTGAGGATCTCCATTTCTGAGAGTCAACCAAATTGTACGGGGTTGATACTCAGGACTGAAGCACTTAGGTTCTCCTACTCCTAAATGACACACAATATATTCTATATTTAAGTATCTACATCTTGATACATCTCCTTTACACTCATATTGCGAATGCCAAATTAGGGTCTGGGATATATGGTTACCTGTTCTTGTAGTCTTAATGCATACCTCACAGCTAGGAGTGTCGGTACCTCTACCTTCCCGAATATAAAAATACACATAAATAAACATTATTAAAAATACATCTTTCGTCGTCATCCTCAGTCTTCGTCCGTGCGAAGGCACCTCAGCTTCCAGGATGTAAGGGCTGCAGGGAATGGAGTTCTGCTCGTCTTCACAGGGGTCCCCCCAAGACTTTCCCTGACTTATACACTCGTTGGTGAGTGGACAGGCTTTATTATGGCCTTCTCACTCACTTACCAAGTCTCTGAAACAATAAAATTTGTAATCTACAAGGTTCCTCGTCACTCCGACTGAGTCGTGCGTTTTAACCGGATCTTGCAGGGATTCTCTGGATTTGCTGTAACTTGCCAGGAATCGGTTGCTGCTGGTTTAACCCTGGAGTGATGTATCCACGGAGCCACTTCGGCTACTTTTATCGCTGTAGGGGTAGACAGAAGAACAACATAAGGACCTCTCCACTTGGGCCCTAACGGCACATTATTCCACTCTTTAATCCACACTTGGTCGCCTGGGTGGTAACTATGAATTGGGGGATAAATATTCACAGGTAATCTATCTTGTACCCATTTCTGTACCTCCTCCATAGTCTTACCCAACTCCACAACCTGCTGCCGGGTAATTCCTTCTCCCAACTGACTCAAATCCCCCCTTAAGTTACCAAGCACGGGAGGTGGTCGCCCGTACATGATTTCAAAAGGAGAGAGGCCCATCCTTCTGGTAGGTGTACTACGGATTCGCAATAGAGCTATGGGCAAGAGAACGTTCCATTTAAGTTGGGTTTCCTGACACATTTTAGCCAACTGATTCTTAATAGTTCTATTCATTCTCTCTACCTTACCAGAACTCTGGGGTCTATATGCCGTATGAAGCCTCCACTTTATACCAAGTATATGAGTCAATTGTTGTAGGCACTGATGAACAAAAGCTGGACCATTGTCCGATCCTATAGAGCAGGGTAGTCCATATCGGGGTATTATTTCTCGTAGCAGGAATCTCACGACTTCTCCTGCTTTCTCTGTACGAGTAGGACATGCTTCTACCCAGCCTGAATAGGTGCACACCACTACCAGAAGGTAGCGATGTCCACCCGATTTAGGCATCACTGTATAGTCAATTTGTAAATCGGACATGGGAAGTCCCCCATAAACTGGACTCCTGGTGGCTTTACTGGTCCTTGTCTTGCATTATTTTTAGCACACGTTACACATCTACGTACAATGGCCTGAGTCAAGTTGGACAATCTTGGTATGTAGAAATGTTTTCTGAGAGATTCTTCTGTACTGTCTCTCCCAGAATGTGTCCTGTTATGATAGTTTTGGACAATTTCTACCGCTAGTGATGCTGGAATAACTATTCTTCCATCTTCTAACTGATACCATTTGTTCTCCAAATACTTTCCAGGTTCAGTCCTTAACCACTCCTCTTCTTGAGCTGTATAAATTGGAGTCCATTGAGACAGTGGAGTTGGTATAAGAGCAGCTATATGCCCTACATATTCCTGTCTTCCTGATTCAGCAGCACGCTTAGCTGCACTATCTGCCATCCGATTCCCTTTGGTTACATCACCATCTCCTCTCAGATGCGCCCGACAATGTATAATACCGACTTCTTTCGGCTCCCACACTGCTTCCAATAGTTGTAGGATCTCAGCTGCGTATTTGATTTCTTTGCCTTCTGAATTCAATAGTCCTCTTTCTTTATACAAAGCTCCGTGGGCATGAGTGGTTAAAAACGCATACTTGGAGTCCGTGTAGATGTTCACTCTTAAACCTTCAGCCAATTGTAACGCTCGTGTCAGTGCTATCAATTCTGCCTTTTGTGCTGATGTTCCTTTTGCCAGTGGCCGAGCTTCTATCACCTTGTCTATCGTTGTTACTGCATATCCTGCATAGCGGATCCCTTCTTTTACATAACTACTGCCGTCGGTGTAATATTGAACATCAGGGTTCTGGATGGGAAAATCACGAAGATCTGGTCTACTTGAAAATACTTCATCCATTACTTCCAAACAATCATGTTGACTTTCAGTAGGTTGTGGCAAAAGGGTAGTTGGATTTAAGGTATTTACAGTCTCTAAATGCACTCTTGGGTTTTCACACAACATTGCTTGATACTTGGTCATACGGCTGTTACTAAACCAATGATTTCCTTTGTAATCCAACAACGTCTGTACTGCATGTGGAACTCGTACATAAAGTTCTTGACCCAGAGTGAGTTTATCGGCTTCAGCTACTAGCAGGGCGGCTGCAGCTACAGCTCTTAGACAAGGTGGAAGTCCTCTGGCCACTGCATCCAGTTGCTTAGACATGTAGGCAACAGGTCTTTGCCATGATCCCAAGTACTGTGTCAATACTCCCACAGCCATTCTTCTTTGCTCATGTACATACAGGTAGAATGGCCGTGTGTGGTCAGGTAGACCTAATGCTGGGGCACTCATCAAAGCCCTCTTCACATCTTCGATTGCCGTTTGCTGTTCTTGAGTCCATAAGAAGGGGTCATGCTCTGTACCTTTGATAGCTGCATACAGAGGTTTTGCCAGTATCGCGTAGCTGGGAATCCATATCCCACAGAAGCCTGCTGCCCCCAAGAATTCTCGCACTTGTCTTCTATTCCTGGGTATCGGTATTTGGCACACAGCTTCTTTTCTCTCTGGCCCCATAATTCTTTGACCTTCAGAGATATGGAATCCCAGATATTTGACAGTTGGCAAACACAACTGAGCCTTCCTTCTTGACACCTTGTATCCTGCCTTCCAGAGGATGTGTAGTAGATCATGCGTTGCTTGCTGACATACTTCCTTTGTAACTGCTGCTATCAACAAGTCATCTACATATTGTAATAATACACACTCTCCTGGGATAGACTCGAAATCTAGTAGATCTTGACTTAGAGCTGAACCAAATAGGGTAGGTGAATTTTTAAACCCCTGGGGCAATCTTGTCCAGGTCATTTGGCGTTTCGAGCCCGTTACAGCATTTTCCCATTGGAAAGCGAAGATACATTGGCTTTCTGCGGTAATTCGGAGGCAAAAGAAGGCATCTTTGAGATCTAAGACTGTAAAGTAAGTAGCCCCGCCCGGAATTAAAGCAAGCAGGTTATATGGATTGGGCACGACTGGATGTATACTAACAACCGCATCATTGACTGCTCTCAAGTCCTGCACAGGTCGATACTCATCTGTACCGGGCTTTTGAACAGGCAGCAATGGGGTGTTCCAGGGGGAAGTACAGAATTTTAGGATACCATACCGTATGAACTTATCCAGATAAGATTGGATGTTCTTCTTAGCCTTCTGCGGAATATGATATTGTCTCAGGCTTACTGGATAAACCCCAAGTTTTAGTTCGATTTTAATAGGTGGAATATTGCGGGCCAGTCCTGGTGGGTTGTTCTCTGCCCAAACTCCTGGTATGTTAAATAAGGATTCATCACTCCTCGGGTTTTGGCTAGTCAACACTGTATAAAGTCGCCACTCTTCTTCCTTTGGTACGGACAATGTCATAATACCTGAGGGTCCATTAAACTTTAAGGATGTTGTTCCATTTGGTAGGAACGTAATCTGCGCTTGTAATTTGGATAGCATATCACGTCCCAGCAATTGGACTGGACACTCAGGCATATAAAGGAATTGATGTTTTACTACGTGGCCTCCCAATGTACAGAGTCGACTTTTAAGAACCGGTTTTTCAGCACTTCTTCCAGTTGCTCCTATTACAGTAATAGTTCTTCCAGATGGAGGAGCAACTAGATTAGTCACCACCGAATGTTCAGCACCAGTGTCGATCATGAACGCACTCCTTTTTCCCCCTATTGATACATCGACCATAGGCTCCGCTCGACCAAGGGGGATGGAGCCCGGTCGGTATCAATAGTCCTCCATGACCGTGTCAGCCAATCCCACAAAGTCCCTACCTTCTCTATCGCGGGACCTTTGCGCTGCTGGATAGTACCTATCTTCCCTTACACTTCCTCTGTTCCCATTACTCCCTCTATTACCATTACTTCCTCCGGGGCCTCCTCTACCTCTCGCTCTGCCTCTAAAGTTTCCGTAACCTGCCCTGGGTAAGTCTCTCTCATACTGCTCTCTTTGCGGACACTCGTTCCTCCAATGCCCTTCTTCCTTGCAGTACGCGCACTGATTCCTACTCAAAGGCTCCCTATTCCATCTACCATCGCCTCTATCTGGGCCTCGTCTATCTACGCCTGCGATCGCTACCGCTAGCATATCTGCCTTTCTACGCATCTTGCGCTCTTCCTCTTTCTTACTTTCTGTTTCCCTATTCATATACTTTGTTCGCTACCTCCATTAGTTGGGTGATAGACATACCTGCAAACCCTTCTAATTTCTGTAGCTTGCGCTTAATATCTCCGTAAGCTTGGCTGACAAAGGCGGAGTTTACCATTCGGGAATTATCAGCGCCTTCCGGATTAAAGGGGGTATACAAGCGGTATGCCTCCAATAATCGGTCATAAAAGACACTGGGCGCTTCATCACTTTTCTGAATCACCTCAACTGTCTTCGACATGTTAATAGCTTTCTTCCCTCCGGCTTTCATGCCAGCAATTATAGCGTCTGTATAGGCTTTAAGTTGAGCCATATCTGCGCCATTTACATTCCAGTCGGGATCGGTGTTAGGGTAATGTGTTGCGGCCCATGCTGCCGGATTGGCTTGATTTAAAGCACGGGCTCTCTCCTCTAGCGCCTTAATGGCCGCTTGGCTAATCCTTGTCCTTTCCTCATTATTGAACAATGTCATTAATAACTGCTGGCAATCAGCCCATGTCGGGTTATGTGTCTGAACTATCGAGGTGAACAGATCGGTCATAGCTTGTGGT